AGTATACATTATAGTGCAACTAGTAAACAAACCCAGCCTAACAGAACAAACTAAAAACTAAATTTAGACAAAATAAGTCGATGCAGAGCCTGGGGGTTGTACTCTCTCCTGTATAAGTAGTAATAATTTCATGGTGGTTTTCAAAAAAAGCAATTAAAATAATGAAATGCAAACATTAGTAGCAGGGTATGAAAAGGATTGTGTTGTTAGCTGAAAGCAAGTGCATCTTGCAATTCTTTAACAGTTTTGGAAATTCACTAGATCAGGTACTTGCTCATCAAAATAATGATCAAATGACTAATACAGAAAATAAAGAATACATGTAACACAACTTCTTCTGGTCCATTTGTAGTGAGCAAGCTCAATGGTAAATAAAAGAGTAATTTTTTTCCTCTCACAACCCCCCTCCTGACATCTCCCTCCTCTCGGCACTATCTTCTCAAAATATTGGTTAATAGAAAAAAAGGGATGCATGTATTCACCAGGTCATAATAACATCTAACCAATCACAGTGAGGCCTGCTGTTGTTTTTCCTCAAATGTGTTTGGAGGTTCATAATAAATTGTAACTAAGTTGACATGCTTGTACATCTCTTTGCAGTGGTAACTAACAGTTCATCTCCAATTGTGATTAACATGTACGTCTGTCCCGATGATATTCTCTAACACATCTCTGTGAATTGTTGCAAAACAAGCTTTGAAGTGTATTTGTTTATTTCTCTCTTCTACACTTCCAAGGCTAAGAGGTATGGTGCTCTTCACCTTCCATTCACTTGTTTCAAAATCAAATGTTTCAACAGACGTTTCTCTGGCTGCAACTTGATTGTCAGTATTCTTTGATCCACCAATAACATACAAAGCTCCTTTAAAGCAGACCATGCTTGCAGAATGACGAGGTACTTGGAGACTCGCCATCAGATGCCACTCATTGTTTGAAGGGGTGTAAACCTCACATGTGTTAAGCAGTATAGATCTAAGTTCTTTCATTTGAATTCCACCTGCTACATAGATCTTGTCATTCATGGCTGCTCCAAATGCATCATGCCTTGCCTCATTCAAAGGTGCAACCTCTTCAAAACTCACATTGCTTGGATCAAACTTCTCCACTTTAGTAATTCCAGTAGCTGTGGAATTTTCCCGATCGGTGCCACCTACAATGTAGAGGTAAGGCCCATTTGCTATGCCACAAGCTCCCCATCGATTTCTAGAGTCCTCATCTCCCTTTACTTTCCAAAAATTTTCATCAGGATCATATGAAAAAACTGTGCTTTCCGGGATATCGGCATCATTGGTTAACGCATACAAATATGAATAACCACTCAGCACAGAGAGACTAGAAAATTGCTCATCATATCCAAAGTCTGTTTGAATTGAGCCCCAACAGTTTGTGGAGGGCACATAGTATTCTATAACATGTACATCTGAGGAGACATGTACTTCCTGCTTACTAAATATGTAAACTTTCTCCCTGTACTGTATGGCAGCATGGTTTTGATGTTCAAAAGTCATCTTTCCAATCTGATACCACGCGTCTACATGGGGAAGATAACACAAAGCCCTCCTACCCCCACATACAAAAATTCCTTCCACCTGCACCTTCAGGCAATTTCTTGGTGCTTTGGTAAGACTTTCTTCTGTAGGAATAATAATTGACTCCATGGACCCCAGCAAATAGTTTAGGCAGTCATTATTTCTAGTTACAAGTTCTTCCTTCACTATGTCCTTCAATAAAAAGTTGTGTGGTATGGATCTTAAGCGGATGTGGCGCAGTAAATCTAGAAAAAATCCTTCCCTTTCACTTCTGTTGTAAGATACCCACTTGACAATTCCCTTGAATACCTCTTTCTCGGAACTGACTTTTATGTCATCACTAGACACCCATTCCACGACTTGCTTTATTTCAAGGTTCAGAAAATCTTCTGTATCCATCACAGCAGTGAAATTTGAATGAATCACCGTGCGACATGCTCGTTTTAGCTCTTCGCAATGATACTTGTCAGCATAATAATAGTTGCAAACACAGTTCTCAACTGTCAACTTCCCTTTTAAAACAGCAACAGCCAATGTTTTTAACCCCGGTAGAAGCAGATAATTCGCCGTGGCAATTAACTTGTGGCAGTTTTCTTCGGTGACGGAAGCATTTCCAGTGTAGATGTATCGTAGCACGTCTTCCATGACAGAAGCAGTCGCCTCTTCAAGCTTGATTTCGATTCGTTGTTCGTTGCTTTCTATCATGTTGCTTTCCCAAAGTGAAAGAAAAAACGGGCTTGCTGCAGCTAGCACAACCTTGTGAGCTTTGAATTCTTTGCCTTTTACCGCAACTGTTACATCGCAGAAGGTTTCTTTTGTTCTCAGGGCTTCAAAACGCTCAAAAAGCTGGTCACGATGTTTCGCAGGATCTGCCGCGATGGGCTTTGATAAGTCAACCATGTTGGTCAAGCAAAGTCTGAGAAAGGATGTGCGTGACGTTACGGCTCCAAGGCCGAGGGGGTCTTGTGAGCATCGCGTTCGTCACGCATTCATTTCTTTGAAGGCAGAAATGAATGCGTGACGAACGAACCCCAAAGGACGTCTGCGGGGAGGCTAAGAAGGTACCATTTCTCCTCAGGACATCGAAAGGCCCATAAAGTTCGTCACAATATTCTGCAGGATCTTCTGACATGAGCCTAAGATGTAAATGTGACAAGTCAGTCATGTTGAAACAGCGAAATGTAGCCTCGATTTCGAAAAACATCATCCTCAGACCCAGGGGCAGTCAGTCGGGCCGGAAGAAAAGACACGACGAAAGGTTCCAAGCACGGGCACAGTTCGCTCGTGTTTGAAAACTTTCGTCGCGCCTTTTCTCCCGGCCCGACTAACTGCCCCTGGGTCTCCGAGGATGGAAAAACATTCGACGGAAGATTGGGATGGAAAAGAATCGGAACAGAGAAGCGGGGAACGATGGGACAAAATTTCCGCTTTTACCGAAGAAAAAAAAACAACAAAACAAAACAAAATTTAAAAAAAAAGTAAATTTAAGGAAGTCGACCTATAAAAATATTTCTTTAAACAAAATGACAGTCTGCACCGTTACTACTCCATTTTCATTAGATATGTTTGTGGTTCCAAGCTAATAAACTTTTTGCTTCCAGTACGAACTATAGCTCTATCGGAAGGTAAAACCAAGGCTATGCTCATCACTGGCAAGCGTCACCCCTCAAAGATCAATGAATGCTTGGGTTGGACCAGTTTAGACCGCTAGATATAAATATTTTCAACTTCATTACCAAGGATGCCTACCTAGTCAGAATATAAATTAAAGTTCCTGTCTTTGTCTGTCCTCGGTAGATTCAGATTCTCAAGGTAGAGAGTGAGAGAGACATCATGAATTTTGCGGGTCTTTTCTCGCGATTGTAAAATTTAGCGAAATTTAATAAGCACTGTAAGTAATACCCAAACAGAAAAAAATCAAACCCAGAAAATATCATTAACATGTAATAGCAACAACATATACTGAGGACTGATTTAGCAACAAATACTGAAATTGGTGAGCTGGTTTTACTGGTAAGTTCCATTTTGTATCAACGCAGTCTGTTATCAACGTTGATTTGCACATAATTCATACATTGCTTACTCCAGTTTATCTGTACATTTTAAAAATTTCTGACCTTTTGAAAAATAAAATGAAATTGAGAACGATTAAATCGTGAAAATTGGCATATCATAATGGCAATGTTGCGTTTAAAGTCATTTAGCAAATTCCGTAATAGACTACGAGTAGAAATGGGGGACCGTGACTCGTGGTCTAATCCCGTAACGACGAGCCCAAAAACACTTTTTTTTTTTTCAGGACCTTAAATCGTCTGAGATTTCGCGTGAAAACATTAAGTTTACTTTTCCTATATAGAACAGGACCGAAATTGGCGAAAAGGAGGATGGAGTTGTACTGACTTTCTATAAATAAGAATAATTATTTAAAATTAAGCGCTTCCAGGCGAAGGTGCCCGGCTAGCTCAGTCGGTAGAGCATGAGACTCTTAATCTCAGGGTCGTGGGTTCGAGCCCCACGTTGGGCGCTGCTACATTTTGTCTACATTTGTTTTCAAGCTCATTTGACTTTTTACTTTGAATTTGGGTTATATTTTGTGAGTTTCCAATAAATAATGAAAAAAGAAAAAACCAATTCAAAACAAAAAAATTCACTATTACGATTCAAATTGTCAGCTCTAGTTCGGCAACGCCCTCTTTTAAAAAGAGCCTTCGCGGTATGCTTTACACTTGACCTGTCATTTCTCCTTTTGCATGCAGCATGCAGCGAATTTTCAACAAACTTGGGTTAATTGCTCGCTATTATCAGTTTCCATGCTTCACGTTTTGTGTAAGCCACAATAATGTGTGACGGCACTGGCGGAAGAATTTTTTGGAAGAATTTTGCTTACTTATTGTTATTATATTACTCTTATTACATAATTATTTTATAATTCCAAAATTAGCAAGCGCTCGAAGCAACCGGGCGAAGCGCGTACAGAATTGTTTGTCTTTATTTATAAGACAAGACTGGGCAGGAGCACTGTGGGGGTCAAAAATGAAGAAAGAATAAAAAATACAGTTACAAACAACAAAAAAGGCACTTAACTTCAGCTGTAATGAAAAGCCACCAGCTTAATTGGTCGATCGGGGCCTGAATGAGTAAGTTTGTATCGTTTGCATTCAACCTCGTTTCCAGGGTTCGAGAGGACCCTAGGAACCAAGTTGGTTTAGTTTTTTTAATGTTTTAATTGATATGACGTAAAACAATTGATGATTTAAATGCGATTGTACAATGTAATTATCCATTATTTGGACTCTAAAGATTCGAATTTATTGCTTGTGAAGACTTAACCAAGCATGTGAAGACTGAAATAATTTTACAGCGTCCCTTATTTCCGCCCGCTCGTCTAGTATCTTTCTTTACCCGCAGATGCCAACACCAGGAAGGTAGACTTTTGCCAAGGTGCAGCGCCTTTTCCGCTATTTTCGCCGCATGTCGGCTGTGTCCGAAGAGCAAAGAAAACTGCAAAATGCGGACGCATGTGGATTCAGCGGTGATGAAGACCAAATTATTGGAGGGAGTGACGGCCCAAGTAACAAAGAAAATGAAAAAGTTGATGAAAACCAAGAAAATCCACCAAATGATAATTTGCCGACCCCAAAACGCAAGGAACCGCCAGACAATGCCGGCATGGTTTTAGCGGCGTATGGTTATGTTTTAGGCGACTCGTTAGGGAAGGGCTCGTACGCTGTAGTCAGGGTAGCTTTTTCTAAGAAATTAAAGCGGCAAGTCGCGGTTAAAATTATCATAAAGAAAAAGGCACCAAAAGATTACCTCACAAAGTTTCTACCCCGCGAGATTGCAGTCATGAAACAGCTCAAGCATCCGCGCATCATCGGACTTCACGAAGCCATCGAGACGGGTTCTCGGGTTTACCTTGTATTAGATATGGCGGACGGCGGCGACTTGCTAGATTACATCAGAACAAACGGTGCGGTGGTCGAGGAGGAAGCTCGGAAGTTTTTCCGGCAGTTGGTCGAGGCGTCTGAATATCTCCACAAGATGGATGTTGTACACAGAGACTTGAAATGCGAAAACATCTTGCTGGACCGCAACAAGAACATCCTACTCTCCGACTTTGGTTTTGCGAGGACACAACCCGTGGAGTGTGGCACGGGAAAACGGCGGCTGAGTTCAACGTTTTGTGGATCTTACGCGTACGCCCCACCCGAAATTCTCCGGGGTATCGCGTATGACGGAACCCGGTCGGATGTCTGGAGTTTGGGAGTTGTGCTGTTTACCATGTTATGTGCTAAGCTACCGTTCGATGATTCTAACCTAAAATTGTTACTGGAACAGGTAAAGTAGTAAGGGTACACAATAAATAAATAAATAAATAAATAGATAAATAAAGTAATAATAAAATAAATAACGGTTTAGAGGTAGCATATTTAGCAGTTATCTTCTACCATTCCTGAAATTTGTGTTGGTTTTTGAGGAGAGGGAAAATTCGAAGTTCCCAGAGAAAAATCTCTCGGAGTAAAGGAGAGAACCTGACAATAAACTCAACTCACATATGGCGTCGATGCTGGGATATGAACCCGGGCCACATATTCAAGAGAGGCGAGCGGCTGTCACCACTGCGCCACCCTTGCCCCCTCACCCTCTTCCACCCCCTACCCCCCCCCCCAAAAAAAACCCTGAAAATGTTTGAAACGCCGAAATACAAATTTCAATGAAAATATGATCGTTTACCAACTCGGTTAGCTTACCTATAACGAAACGAAAGTTAAATTAGCGCAAACGAGAGTCGTTATATGTTTGATATCCCTGACTTATAATTTTCAGGTGTCTAAGACGGTTGTTTTTCCCAAAAAAAGGAAAGTTTCCGAGGAAGCGAAGCACCTTATCATGCAGATGCTTTGTGAAGACAAGAAGAGAATTGATATTCCAGGGATAAAAAAACACCCGTGGTTTGAAGGTAAGACGTTTGACCAATGCCTTAAGGAAAACAACAACCAAACGCTCGTAAAAGATAAGTCGCATGATTCCGGACTTGGAAACGACGCTGAAAGTATCTCCCAAGAGATGAAGGAATGAACAGCGGTAGAGCCAGGAAAACCAGTGTAAGTCTTCAGCAAGATTTGGCTGCTTTAATTAACTGTTTGCAACCAACGGCAGTTTGATTAGAATGGGTAGTGAGAGGAGAATAGTTAGAGTGTGTCATTTGCAAAGGGATGATGAGCCCTCAAGGAATTGCTGACTCTAACCTTACACGAGGTCACCGTTTTTAACTGGGTGTGGATTTGCCAAAATCCTGAGATGGGGTGTCGTCCGGAGAGGAGAGGAGAGGCAATTGTTAAAAATAATTGGTGAAACAAAGAGATATTCCTGAGCGGGAAAAAAATCAGTCTCCTTGAATGCAAGCAGAGTCACAGCAGAGCAAATGCTTTCCATGAGTTGGTAACTTTCCGCACGAACCTTTAATGTAATGTTCAGATAAGCGCCATCCTAAGATAATATTCAAGGAGCAGAAAGTCAAAAAGATAAATAAACAGCGAAAGAGATCTTGGACAGAGAATTAATTGCCGGCTTATACACACCATCTTGTGTGTATTTCAAATTCAACTGTATAATTTCTTCTTAAATAAAAGTATTAATAAAAGGCGAACAAATATGTTCAGCAGCCTAGCTTACGTTGGCGAGCTAGAGGCTTGAAAGGGAATGTGGTTGGGTAGTTAAGGTGTTATTAAGCAGTCGATCATCGAATTTATCATATGAAAGAATCTTTAACTTGGTTTAGTGAGATCGTGAAAAATTTTCTTGTACTCACGCATGTATGAGTTTCATTAAAGCTCCCTATAGCTATGTGCTTAATCAGGATACTATATGTACAGTGGAAAATATAACGAACTCTATATAACGAAGTCCTCGGTTTAACGAACGATTTTCTTTACGCAGTATTAGTAAAATATATGAAAAAGAACCTCGATATAAGGAAGCCTTTCGTTATAGCTTACCAATTTTACCAGTCCCTTGGCCCTTCGTAAATTAACATTCTGGTCTCGATCACTAAGCGTAATGGCGATGGTTCCACTGTAAATAAACATTCTGGTGTCGATCACTATAAGCCTAATGGCGATGGTCATCATGGATGTTACACCATCTCTCAGGGGTACCGATGGGGCTTAGACACCATAAATTCGCATTCATGTGGTTCAGCGATTGAAGCAGTTTAAAAAAGCCACACTTGATCAAACAAAGTTTACTAATTTTTAAAGGCCGATTTACATGGTGCAACTAGGTCGATATGAACCTTACTACTGTGTAATAAAAACCAACTCTGACCCGCACTCGCAATTCGTTGGTAGGTTAGAGTTCAATCAGTCTTTTGACCATGGGCTCGTGTTGTGCATAAACTTATTATCCAGGGGTGTCTATCTCCCTAATTTAGTATCCATATCTCCCAAACCTATAGACAGACGCCTTTTATGAGTTCTGGGCACATGATTAGGGACTCCCATGTGAAAAATTAAAATGGGTTGGGTGGTGGGGAGAGAGAAGTTCCAACGAAAATTGAAATTAAACCGCATCATTCGACCTGTTATCGAATTTGTCTTAAAACTTTGTTCAGTGGTGCTGGATGTTTTTCGATGATGGAGAATCAGGTTTAAATGAGTTAAAACCTTTTTATGCTACTGCAACGGATAAGCACCATCCAACAATTATGGATCATTAAGTTTGCTCAAGGCATATCGACAGTAATATTCAATTTCCCTATGTAAACTGACTATTCTTTAATTCTTTATTAGAAACGGTTTTGACAAAAATCAATTTTCCAAAATAAACTAGGAACCTACTTCACATGATAGCTTCAAGCCAAATATTTGAGTTTATTACTGCACCTTACTCTATAAGGATGAGACTTTTCATGGGGACCCCGGAAAGAAGAGTAAATATGAGAGAGCAAATCTCCGCCTTTTCACCTCCCCCCCCTCCGCTCCCCCAGAAAGGCCTAAGTAACACTGGGTCGGCTGAGGCCCTCAAATCATGTACCCTGAAATCCAATGACTGAGTTCGCTAATTTATTGCCAAAAAGTTCTGCTTAGATCAAGGGGAAACAACCGAACTGTTTGAGGCATTGTGACACGCGCGACATGTGATCTCAGTACATTTATTGTATTTCGTAACGCCCTCTCCGCTCACGCCTTGATTCAAGCCTAGTTATTCGAGGAGACTGGTTATGAAAAGCGGCAAACAACAATGATAAAAACAACAGTGCCGCAGTTTATGTTCAAAGCAGCGTGAAATTAAGTGCACAATCCTTTGTTCTCTGTTGGCAAATTGTTACGGAATAAATTAATGCAACGTTTTTATTGGTCAATACAATCAAAATGATAGGAATTCTTTTGAACGTTGTGCACTTTCAGGTCCACAAAAACATATAACAAAGGAGTCTGACGGGTTTCATAACCATTCCACTCAATTAACTATGATTCAAGTGATCGGTAGAAACGCTTTATAAAACACAGAAGTTTGCACCCACCTTTTCATCCCAAATGTTGATTTAATGTAAGAAGAATGAATAAAGATAACTTACTGTATGTTTTTAGTGTCGTGTTCTGCGTTTTTGTGGCGTTTTGTCGCTTGAAACTGTATTCATTTTTTGTATTCATTTTTCTTACATCATATCAATATTTGGAATCAAAAGGTGCTGATTTCAGTATTTTACGAAGAATTTCTCCCGATCACTTCAATTAAGCCTAGACCAGGCGTTAGGAACATGTGTCGCGCGTGACATCACGATGCCTCGAACATTTCGGATGGTCCACCTGTGCTTGGATGTACTCTTCACTATTGTTTATGGATCAGTATGATTTTTGTAACCAACTGAAAACATTCCATTCACGAGTCTTCTTCTGCAGATGAACAGAACCGCTGCTGCAATGAGACAAACACCCACAACCGCAGACAAAGTGATGGCCAGCACCTTCCACCTAAAATATTTTACAGAAAAAAATATAATAACAAATTTTTCGTCTTAGTTCTGATCTAAAACTTTCCTTTGAATCAGGGTCCCTCCTAGGATCCAAATTTATTGTTGAGAGATATTTCTGCATGATCCTCCAACTTTGTTAAATCCATATTGTAAAACGTCCTATGAATTGTAAAACTTCCTATGAATTTTCCTGATTGGGTTGTGAGTTTGAGGCTTCCAAGGCAAAGGGCAACAACCCGCAAACGAAATGTTTCGTTAACCTCTCTATTAACAACACAGGATTCCTTAATACAATTAATGACTAAATCTAGTGGTAAGTTTTAAAAGCCGTTCTGTCACAACTTGTATTTCATCAAGTTTAGAAGCACTCGACTGCGCTTGCACAGAAATGAACGAGTGGTACTTGCTTTCGCGTAGGCGCCGGTTATTTTTTTTAAAGGCCGCGCTAGGAGAGCAGGTGAAGGAGAGAGATTTCTTCCATCGCACTAAAAAACAAACCGGCCCCTAATACGCAGGCTATTAAGAGGTTCAATTGAATAGTACAGACGAGCCAAAAAAGCGGGCGAGCAGTGAAATAGCGACCGAGCCAATGACGATGGGAAGAGAGAACTGAGGAGAGCCTGTAAACGTCTTTTTAAAAACCCCTGACCCCGGCCACTTTCAAAAAACAGTTTCTCGTGTCAAAATGTCAAATTTCAAAACGTCAAAAGGTGCGGGGAGGGTTTTGCACAACATGAGTAAAAACGTACCCCTTCCAGCCCTGATTGACAGTTTGTGAGATCTTCCTCTCCGAATTCTTAAAGAAAATGCATTCTTTCGCAAGTGGATGATCAGCACATAAGAGATGTTGTACCTGGCTGCAAGGAAGAAAAGAAAGAAACAAAAAATAAGCGAAAGAAAGTTCAACGTAGTATTTCTACCACTCCATTATAGACTCAAACTATAGAGAGTCTTTAGATTTTACTCAGTTTTCAGCACCGTAAAATATGAGACAAAAGCAGATGTCATGAACGAAGAGTGCGGGTTGTATAGCATCTTAACAAGAAGAAAGAAAAAAAGTTAGAATTCGAACTTTCAAGGTAGAGGGGAGAGAGTAAAGGGCTATCCTGCCAAGAAGTGGGCCCAAAATACAATCCAGTTGGAGACATTTCTGCACGTCCGATAAGGACATTTTTAGTTTCAGAATTGTGAGTTTTGAGCTGATCCTATCTCTTTCTAGTGATCAGTAGAGCAACAACAACCCCAAGACAAAAGAAATAACATTTTATGATTCCACTTACTCTGGGTCATCATAACATGTAGTTTTGATCCCACGGTTACTTGCTGTATCTTGTAATAACTTGATGGAGCCCTTTCCACAGCTTTCTCTTCACACACACACAAACAACAACAGCAACAACATCAACAGAAAATAATAAAACGTTACTGACGGGTAGCGCTGCGTTTTCTATGAAAAGTAACCTTACGTTTCAAGTGTAAGTATGCTTCTCATTAACCGCCAACACATTTAGCACCAGGGGCGGATCCAGGCGGGACGTGGAGGAAGGGGATATCAATTGGGTCTTGGACTGCCTCGTATTTCACCAATCAGACTTGATAATTTCTAATTGGCTAAGTGCGTTGAACTTATAAAAGTGTTCTTTATTCAATATCAATAGGGGGACCTAGAAAATAAATACCACTGAAATCAAAGGATAACAGTTTTGAGCAAAAATCCTAACCCTAATTAAAACGATCCAACAAAAACGATTTAAAGACGACAGTAACGAAGTCTTTATACTTAGGATAAGTGGTTAAGAAAGTGTCGCCTACAAGATAGAGGAAACCCAAGCAAACCAAATATACGATTTTAAACCGTAACAGCTGCCTACTTTGATCAGCATCACTTACAGATTTGTGCTGTCAACACCTATTGTGTGCACAACAAGCACAACGAGATTCGTGACCTCTTTTACACGCAGATTCGGTAGTTCCCATGTCGCAAAGTAGCTGAAATCAATGTTTAAAGAAAGGCTCAGTGTTATTACTTCAAAAATTAGTAAAATTCTTCAGTAGATTATGTTCTGATGGGAGAGAATGAGAATGTTGGTTTCATCAGCTATACTCAAACGATACGCTATAAATTAACTAGTCCATAATACTCTACTGTTTATATAAACATAACTAAGGCCCCGTCCACACTAAAAAGGCTGAGCGTTTTCATCGAAAAAGCATAGACTTGAAAACGCTCTTGAAATTGGATCAAAATGAAAACTCATACATATCGTAAGGATGACCGAAAATATAGCAGGCGCGTGTGTCTGTAGCATATACATAGAATTCAACCGGTACGTCGTCACAACGTGCAATCGTTTTCGAACTTGTAATTTTTTAGTGTGGACAGTCGAAAGCGCATCAAAACGGTCGTATGGACGCGACTCGATCGATGCGTTTTCGATGACATAAAAACGCATACTTTTGAAAACGCATTAGTGCGAACAAGGGCATAATTGTACTTCAGAATAATCTAATAGCAAAAACTGCTTCCATGAGTGTCACACGATGAGAGCCAACACGAAAACATTCCTCATTGTCGCCAATTAAAAGGTCTCACAGCAAGATAAATATGCTACACCAATATAAAATCGAATAACAGATCTGGTTTTCTAATTATTATTTCTTTGGCACTTATTTTACTCGGGAGGTCGAGCATTTAATTTGGACTCTTACAAGTCCTTACAATCTATGATATGAAATTTAAGAGACGCTTACTTATTTTAAAATTAAAACTTGGCACTGTCATCTCTTTTGATTTCGCGGTTTAGTTTAAAAATCCCGAAGTAGTACACTCACTCAGTGGAACGTAATGTTTTCTAACCTGTCATTTTTGAAAGCTGGATAACCACTCGCACTGAGGCGCGATCCATTTACCAGGACACGAACACACAGGTTGAAAAAAGGTGTTTCCGTTTCCGTTTTTGTAACGGTTATCTAACGGAAACCTAAATATCCGCGGACGGAATTGTAACGGGGAACACGTGTATCCGTCATGTTTCAGTTTCTGCGGACACGCTTAAACGCATCCCTTATACTCGCGTTTCCGTCAGGTTTACTCTTGCGGAAACGCTAACTGCCGTCATGTTTCCGCAGCTCGTAAATTCAGAGGATACTCAATTATCCGTTGAGTTTCCGGAACAATGAATGCGGAAACTCAGTTTGACCGGTTTACTTTCTGCAGCCTTCATGTTTCCACAGATTCCGCTTTCGGTGGATTATTCACTGGATTTCCTAAATGTGTTAACTTTCCTTAACCACCCAGTTTCGAATCATATGTTCATTCTATCCGGTATATAAAAAAGTGGACGTTTGTGAGACAACCCTGGACCGTTTCATGCATCCACAATGACCCATTTTCGCTGATACACACAAATCAAGCTGAGTCATATTTAGGTGCATTTTTGGTATTAAAGTTTTTATTAAAATAATTCTATCTCCATTTTCATATAATATGTACATATGTATATTAAATATTTTCACAATAAAAAGAGACTCCTTACAATGTATTCCTATTTTCTATATCCAAAACTGTAACTTTTCAATTTCAATAGGCCACTTCCGAGTTCCAAAAACCCTCACTTTCAAAATGAGGCGAGGTGCGCAACCTTTCTTGTGAAATGAGTTTTATTTGCACGAGAATGAAAAATGATTTCCATATCAAAGGCTGAGCACTTAACCTCGTTTTGAAACAGAGGCCCTGGGAACTCAGAAATGGCCTATTAAATAATCCTTTTAGAATTGACAAAATTCAAAATTTTTTCCTTGAAATGATTAGATTAACATAATAATTATACAGTCTAACCTCTTCTTATGGACACTTCTATACGACGGACAGTTCGTTTGGTCCCAGAAAAGCCAAAAATCATGCAATCCCTACCTCTGTAATATAGACACCTCTATAAAGCGGACACTTGGTTCTGTCCCTTTAGTGTTCGTATTAAAGAGGTTTGACATTATTATAAGTAACGTGCATTTCCATTCCAAAATAACTCAAAGAAGTAGTTCACGGCAAAATTATTACATAATTTAATAAGAAAAATAATATTATTACAAATGAAAGTCTTACTTAGTTACATGTAAGACTGCATAAAATCCCATTAGGAAATCTAAACTGCTGCCTTAATTCTTATTAGCAAGTACCAGTACTTGGTGGATCATCCCCAAAATTATTGTTAAAGCCTACACAAACTGATGAGAGGCCATTATTGGGGAGTATCAGGCTGATGCTACAACGACGATAGTGATGCAAACAAAACTAGCCATAGGCTTTATATACAAATGTATAAGCCAACATCTCTACACATGTATCTCACTTATTGTCGCCACTCTGCTGTAAGTGCATGGCTACAACTTGGACCTGGCTGTGGCATACAAAGTAGTCTACGAGAATTTGCCTACATCTGAGTTTGAATAGTAATGACAAACTGCACACTTTTAACAAGCGACTCACTTTCACAATGCATCTATCTTACACTCCCTGTTTTATAGTTTTAGGATAATCCATTGACTGTCCTGTAATTTCAGCAATTTTAATGAACACAGTCGAGTAAAGATTGACTTTTTTAGAATAAAACTCTTATCACCTTTCCAATTACCCTCCCACGCAGGCGTTTTTAGGGGAGCTCGTATTTCTTCCCTCCCCACAAACGCCTGCTCAACGGAAAACAACATTCCTTTCTCATTGCTTTATTTGCGTGGTAAGTGACCAATCAACAATTGTGCAATAAAGTGTTGACAGGCTAAACACGAGTGAACGTGACCCTAGAGTTACCGTTTTCCTTCTTTTCTTTCCTTCACTAAGGTTATGCAGTGCACGGAGTATTCTGAATTTTGACTAAATCTTATTTTTGCCGCTCTGAATCTAACATTTATTGCAGGTCAGAAAGCTTTCCCAGTGTTTAATGCAGATTGAGTAATTATCAGATTACCTTGCGGTCAAGGTCAACTTTCTAGAATTTGGAAAGTACAATGTGATTGGCTAAGCTTGGGAAAGGAATGTTGTCTTCAGTTGAGCAGGCGTTTGTGGGGAGGGAAGAAATACGAGCCCACCTAAAAACGACTGCGTGGGAGGCTTCTTTCCAATAAGATTGTGCAATTTAGTTAGAGTTGATCATCACAGGATCATCCTGACTAAAGGCACAATAATACATTAGGCACTTTAAGCAAATTGCTACAGTGACCTCTACTATGGTGGTCGTGGTTACAGTCCTGAAGAGAGTATGTTACTGTTGCCCGTCAAATTTCAACTTTATGCAAGTGGCACCCAAAAGTCACTACAGGGCTTTTCGCTCATTTGGTTTCGTTGTTAGTAAAACGCAGGGAAGACTGAATTATTGCCCAGTGAACTAGAAGTGTCAAATACCTTCTTGATTAAGAGAAAAAAAAAAATAGGTTTTAAACCAGTGAAAAATAGGGGAAAAGTAGAATTTTATACTCATGTACAAGCCATCACATTTTGTGCTTCGGCTAAAGCTCATTATTTTACTGGACATCACGCACACGGCGTCATTTTTGGACTTATTACTCCCAGTTGCCATAGTAGCGATCACTGTAGCAATTTGTTACTTTGATATTATTGGCATCCTGCCCATGAAGGGCAGTTAGTTGGTACTGGTCTGTCTGACAAGTATTTATCAACCTCTCTGGTTATTTTCCCGGCTGTTCTTTCTTTGCCTCTTTGACATGCAAGCCTCACAAAAGGCGTCAAGAACAGCATTGATGTTTCTTAGCTTTGACCTCTCTGAGCATAGTGGCCTGATGTACCTGGGTTGTGGATCATTGGCCCTCTCTTCATTGTCTTCACTCTCCTCCAAAGACATAAATTGGATAGCATTGTGTAGGTCTAATAAAGCCTTTATTTTGGCTTTGTCATCTGGAGAAAGTTGTGCCTTGTCCAACACGTCTGTGTGATTCGTCAATTTCTGAACACCAAAAAAACTTATTTAGTCACAGTGGCATGACTACTATGATAAACATTTAATTAACATTTACGTTCTTCAGTAACAGTTTAGTCTGGTAAAATAGTCACCCTAACTATTTTGAATCTTTAGATTTGGTTCTTGCTCTTTACTCTGAGCAATTTACACTACAATCAAACCTTGCATATAAATGGAAAGGACACTGTTAACATTAAAAATGTCAAAGGGGTAGGGTGTGGCCCTAGTGCATTCTATAACAATCATTAATTATGTATGCATAATACAAACGTGCAAAACATGTGTTGTGTTCTTAAAAAATGAAAGAGCCTTGTGCCCTTAACCTGAAAGATCCAGGTACCCAGGATGAATGTGTTTGAACAAACTAAGACTTCCTTGTCGCCCAAGAGCAACAGTAATGCAACAGGGGCCACCAGGCACTGCCAAAGCACAGCTCTGTTGCAGGACAGGCTAAATAAATCACTAAGTGGATGACTTAAACTACACAGTAAAAATATTTGCACTGCAAGCATTAACAAAATAATGTACATGTATTTTACCTACCTTTTTAGCTCTCAAATTGGAATCTTGTCTGAACTCTGTGTTCTTCAAGTTTTCCATTTTACTGCCTTACCACATCTGCACGGTTACTTCTCTGACTCCAGTGCTGAAAAATGGCCCCTAGCAAAAGGAAAGCATGTTAAATGTGCAGGTCTGTAGAAAAGGAATGAAGAGTGCTTCTTGGTGTTGCTAAAAGTATTGTGGTTTGCTCCTGTTTTTGGTGTGGGTATTATTTAGTGGCTTTTCCATCTTTTGTATTTATGTCATTAGGGGATTACACTTGTCGGCAACACCAAGAAACTACAGTGGAACCCCGTTAACATGGTCATCAATTGGCCAAAAAAGTTTTGCCGTATTAATGGGGTGACGGTATTAATGAGGGTTTGTTTACAAGAAAATGTATGGTGGTTTTTGCCAGGCGGCCAAAAAAAGTGGCTGTAATAACAAGGTGACTGTATTACCGAGGTGGCTGTAAGGCGGGGTTTCACTGTAAGAAATTCAAGAAACTTAGAAAAGTGTACAACTTACCTTTTATCTCTGTTTTGGGCCATTTCTTTCACCCAAAATTCCCCCTCACTTCATTAACCAAAATACCCTCAATGTTTTTGTTCTCCACATCAGTATACCTCAAAGAAATAAAGACAAAAAAAATGTCAAATATTTATATCAAAATAATAATACATGTATTACATGTATCGTAACAGCCTCGTTCTAAAAAAACTAGAGAGCTTAAAATCAGGCAGTTTTATGGTAGTGCATTACAATGAAAAATATTTAAAAAATGACGGTTGCTTTTATCATCGAATAAAGCCGTTATCCAAGTGCTTGAGGCACAAAACAAAATTAAAGTGTAACAATATAAAAAAACTGTGTAATCATCAAGTTGATCTCCTTGTGGCATTTGTAAAAATTGAAAGTATCATTAACACAAGCACCATTTTGTCCACTCAAAGAAGGATAAATAGAATAATTCCAACTTCCCACTTAAAGATGGGCACCTTACTTGAGTCAGTGAAGGTTGCTTTGTCATCGAATAAAGCTTTTATCCTTGTTTTCAAAGCTTAACAACAAATTGAAGTGTAAAGAAATAATTATATTCCTGACTAGTATTCTTGTTTATCTCCTGGTGACTGTTGCAACATTTAAAATATCATTGACACAAGCACTACTTTGTCCACTCAAAGATGGATAAAATAAAATAGAATTGCAACTTCCCACTCAAAGATGGGCGTCTTACTTGTGTCAATGAAGGTTGCTTTGTCATCGAATAAAGCTGTTATCCTTGTGTTCGAAGCTTAACAACAAATTGAAGTATAAGGAAATTATATTCCTGAATGATATTCTTGTCTATCTCCTGGTGACTGTTGCAACATTTGAAATATCATTGACACAAGCACTACTTTGTCCACTCAAAGATGGATAAATAGAATTGCAACTTCCCACTCAAAGATGGGCGTCTTACTTGTGTCAATGAAGGTTGCTTTGTCACCGAATAAAGCTGTTATCCTTGTGTTCAAAGCTAACGACAAATTGAAGTGTAAGGAAATTATATTTCTGAAAAATCTTCTTGTTGCAACATTTGAAATATCATTGACACAAGCACTACTTTGTCCACTCAAAGATGGATAAATAGAATTGCAACTTCCCACTCAAAGATGGGCGTCTTACTTGTGTCAATGAAGGTTGCTTTGTCATCGAATAAAGCTGTTATCCTTGTGTTCGAAGCTTAACAACAAATTGAAGTGAAAGGAAATTATATTCCTGAATAATATTCTTGTTTATCTCCTGGTGACTGTTGCAACATTTGAAACATCACTGACACAAGCACTACTTTGTCCACTCAAAGATGGATAAATAGAATTGCAACTTCCCACTCAAAGATGGGCGTCTTACTTGTGTCAATGAAGGTTGCTTTGTCACCGAATAAAGCTGTTATCCTTGTGTTCGAAGCTTAACGACAAATTGAAGTGTAAGGAAATTATATTTCTGAAAAATTTTCTTGTTGCAACATTTGAAATATCATTGACACAAGCACTACTTTGTCCACTCAAAGATGGATAAATAGAATTGCAACTTCCCACTCAAAGATGGGCATCTTACTTGTGTCAATGAAGGTTGCTTTGTCATCGAATAAAGCTGTTATCCTTGTGTTCGAAGCTTAACAACAAATTGAAGTGAAAGGAAATTATATTCCTGAATAATATTCTTGTTTATCTCCTGGTGACTGTTGCAACATTTGAAATATCATTGACACAAGCACTACTTAGTCCACTCAAAGATGGATAAATAGAATTGCAACTTCCCACTCAAAGATGGGCGTCTTACTTGTGTCAATGAAGGTTGCTTTGTCACCGAATAAAGCTGTTATCCTTGTGTTCGAAGCTTAACGACAAATTGAAGTGTAAGGAAATTATATTTCTGAAAAATCTTCTTGTTGCAACATTTGAAATATCATTGACACAAGCACTACTTTGTCCACTCAAAGATGGATAAATAGAATTGCAACTTCCCACTCAAAGATGGGCATCTTACTTGTGTCAATGAAGGTTGCTTTGTCATCGAATAAAGCTGTTATCCTTGTGTTCGAAGCTTAACAACAAATTGAAGTGAAAGGAAATTATATTCCTGAATAATATTCTTGTTTATCTCCTGGTGACTGTTGCAACATTTGAAACATCATTGACACAAGCACTACTTTGTCCACTCAAAGATGGATAAATAGAATTGCAACTTCCCACTCAAAGATGGGCGTCTTACTTGTGTCAATGAAGGTTGCTTTGTCACCGAATAAAGCTGTTATCCTTGTGTTCGAAGCTTAACGACAAATTGAAGTGTAAGGAAATTATATTTCTGAAAAATCTTCTTGTTGCAACATTTGAAATATCATTGACACAAGCACTACTTTGTCCACTCAAAGATGGATGAATAGAATTGCAACTTCCCACTCAAAGATGGGCGTCTTACTTGTGTCAATGAAGGTTGCTTTGTCATTGAATAAAGCTGTTATCCTTGTGTTCGAAGCTTAACAACAAATTGAAGTGTAAGGAATTTATATTCCTGAATGATATTCTTGTCTATCTCCTGGTGACTGTTGCAACATTTGAAATATCATTGACACAAGCACTACTTAGTCCACTCAAAGATGGATAAATAGAATTGCAACTTCCCACTCAAAGATGGGCGTCTTACTTGTGTCAATGAAGGTTGCTTTGTCACCGAAAAGCTGTTATCCTTGTGTTCAAGCTTAACGACAAATTGAAGTGTAAGGAAATTATATTTCTGAAAAATCTTCTTGTTGCAACATTTGAAATATCATTGACACAAGCACTACTTTGTCCACTCAAAGATGGATAAATAGAATTGCAACTTCCCACTCAAAGATGGGCGTCTTACTTGTGTCAATGAAGGTTGCTTTGTCATCGAATAAAGCTGTTATCCTTGTGTTCGAAGCTTAACAACAAATTGAAGTGAAAGGAAATTATATTCCTGAATAATATTCTTGTTTATCTCCTGGTGACTGTTGCAACATTTGAAACATCATTGACACAAGCACTACTTTGTCCACTCAAAGATGGATAAATAGAATTGCAACTTCCCACTCAAAGATGGGCGTCTTACTTGTGTCAATGAAGGTTGCTTTGTCACCGAATAAAGCTGTTATCCTTGTGTTCGAAGCTTAACGACAAATTGAAGTGTAAGGAAATTATATTTCTGAAAAATTTTCTTGTTGCAACATTTGAAATATCATTGACACAAGCACTACTTTGTCCACTCAAAGATGGATAAATAGAATTGCAACTTCCCACTCAAAGATGGGCATCTTACTTGTGTCAATGAAGGTTGCTTTGTCATCGAATAAAGCTGTTATCCTTGTTTTCAAAGCTTAACAACAAATTGAAGTGAAAGGAAATTATATTCCTGAATAATATTCTTGTTTATCTCCTGGTGACTGTTGCAACATTTGAAACATCATTGACACAAGCACTACTTTGTCCACTCAAAGATGGATAAATAGAATTGCAACTTCCCACTCAAAGATGGGCGTCTTACTTGTGTCAATGAAGGTTGCTTTGTCACCGAATAAAGCTGTTATCCTTGTGTTCGAAGCTTAACAACAAATTGAAGTGAAAGGAAATTATATTCCTGAATAATATTCTTGTTTATCTCCTGGTGACTGTTGCAACATTTGAAACATCATTGACACAAGCACTACTTTGTCCACTCAAAGATGGATAAATAGAATTGCAACTTCCCACTCAAAGATGGGCGTCTTACTTGTGTCAATGAAGGTTGCTTTGTCACCGAATAAAGCTGTTATCCTTGTGTTCGAAGCTTAACGACAAATTGAAGTGTAAGGAAATTATATTTCTGAAAAATTTTCTTGTTGCAACATTTGAAATATCATTGACACAAGCACTACTTTGTCCACTCAAAGATGGATAAATAGAATTGCAACTTCCCACTCAAAGATGGGCATCTTACTTGTGTCAATGAAGGTTGCTTTGTCATCGAATAAAGCTGTTATCCTTGTGTTCGAAGCTTAACAACAAATTGAAGTGAAAGGAAATTATATTCCTGAATAATATTCTTGTTTATCTCCTGGTGACTGTTGCAACATTTGAAACATCATTGACACAAGCACTACTTTGTCCACTCAAAGATGGATAAATAGAATTGCAACTTCCCACTCAAAGATGGGCGTCTTACTTGTGTCAATGAAGGTTGCTTTGTCACCGAATAAAGCTGTTATCCTTGTGTTCGAAGCTTAACGACAAATTGAAGTGTAAGGAAATTATATTTCTGAAAAATCTTCTTGTTGCAACATTTGAAATATCATTGACACAAGCACTGCTTTTTCCACTCAAAGATGGATGAATAGAATTGCAACTTCCCACTCAAAGATGGGCGTCTTACTTGTGTCAATGAAGGTTGCTTTGTCATTGAATAAAGCTGTTATCCTTGTGTTCGAAGCTTAACAACAAATTGAAGTGTAAGGAATTTATATTCCTGAATGATATTCTTGTCTATCTCCTGGTGACTGTTGCAACATTTGAAATATCATTGACACAAGCACTACTTAGTCCACTCAAAGATGGATAAATAGAATTGCAACTTCCCACTCAAAGATGGGCGTCTTACTTGTGTCAATGAAGGTTGCTTTGTCATCAAATAAAGCTGTTATCCTTGTGTTCGAAGCTTAACGACAAATTGAAGTGTAAGGAAATGATATCCCTCTACAATCTTGTGACTTTTAGAACCTTTCTGCACCATCATATTAAACTTGTTATTGTGCATGTACACAAAGAGAAAAGGTTCCTTTTAACACTACAAGTCTCGTAACAAGCACTACATTTATTTCAATTTTGAACAATTCCCATTGGTAGTAAGGAAATGCACGTTGTCTGCAAAAAATTAATATGAACATTAAATATTATTTTTGTACAGGTTTATCCTTGTGATAAACATCTACAGTCTCAGAAATTGGAGTGGAAATGTTTTGTACATTTCAGTGTCAAGGAATTTTTATATAATATTTTTCTGTCATTGCTATTGGATTCCGTACTCCGTTCCGTGATTCCGTTTCCTCATTCCAGATTAAGTATTTTACGGCTGCCATCTTCGCCATTAAAATGTGCATGCAGCAACTATGTCTTTATTGTAAAAGAAATCAGACAAAGACGTGCTTTACAGGAATATGCTATCAAAGAAACTACAGGCAACATACAAAGGTCAGATCTGTACGAAGCAACTCGCTGTCGCATGAAGCTCACATGTGAAACGATTTTTATGATCGACATCGATGAAATGCTCCCAAAGCTATTACATAGACTTAAATATGCCTCTATATATTTAAACAAGATTCAGAATGTACTTACGAAACAACAAGGATCCACAGTTTAAAATAAGCGTTCTTTCTTCTCAATGATGGTTGAAACACTCAGGGTGCATTCGAGTCGCGAAGAGTGAACACTGAACTCCTACATCACCGCTTCCATGGGATTTGGCGTTTCGTTTAAATAGTTTTTCGAAGTATTATTTCTCCCTGCAGTCTATCTCCGCAATCTATCACACTCTCCTCGCTTATCTTGACAAAAAAATGGTCCTGCATGAACAACCACCAAAATGGAAGGCGAACCGACAGCGAAGAATGTTCAAAAGGGCGCGCGATTCAAAATCCAACGTGAAAACGAGGCACGCATGCTCGTAACACTCGCGCCCCCAGAGCGAGGCAAAATGCGTGCAAGCGTTATAATTTATTTGGCTGTTTCTAAATTGTTTCAAATTACGCGTCAATGTTTGGAGCGCTAGTAATTTTAATGACACATCTTTGAATCTCTGAAAAAAGGAAGACAGAGAGAATCATCTATCACTTTTCCAGTATTTACGACGTGTAGTTTAGCGCAGGCGATTATCTCTGTTCTTTCGGATATTTTAGGTCAATGCAATGATTCCTCATCTTGCCTGAAGCGTAATCAGTACAGTTAAAACAAATTTTATTATATGAAAAATATTAAAAATAGTGCTGTTGCCGAGAAATCCTTGGCAGCACATCGCCTACTTAAAATTAAATCAACCGAAGATAAAAGCTACCAAATTTCCGCAGAAAATTGTCTGCGGAAACGCGACTGATACGGCCTTGTACATTTCAGCCAACGGAAACGCTGCGGAAACGCGAAACGCGACCTCATTTTGCTCTTACGTGTTTCCGCCCTCCGGAAATGTGACGGAAACTTGAACCATCAGATTTCCGCAAGATTTCCGAAATACGGAAACGCCTTATTTCACCCTGTGACAATTCCACTTGCTTTCTTAGCAAACTACATTGAAATGGAAAAAAATTACTGGCGTTACACATGTATCAGAAAGAACTCCTCAAATTTCAAAAGCGCTTCTTTTGTTCATTTTGACTCGCCAGTTTAGAGCATCCATTTTATAGGCAAAAAGAATATATAGGTCAGGAATTTGATTTGTTAGCATTCAGATTTAGTCGAAGTTCGCGCCAGTTCTACAAAAGTTATCTTTATCCAGCTTTGATCAACCAGGCCAGGAACGGCGGAACATTTTTCGAAGAGAAGAGGGGGTGGAGTGACGTCTAGTGACTTGTAGAGGAAAGGGAGACTATCCTCTTAGTAGGTATTTATTCTTTGGCGAATAAAGTGCCCTCGCAAGGCCTCCGGCTCCTCGCCGTCCCTGCGCAATGCGGAACCAGACTTGACTTCCTGGTCGCCAGTTTAGTTGGTCTACCATCGAACCACAGGAGAATTATGGGAATCAGGGACATTCATCTAGGCATGTGCACCAAGTTACAAACTTGCACTGCCTTGCAACATCCTGCAAACTGCTGGGATTGAGTGATGAATATGTGAAAACGATCAGTTTTTCCGCGGCACTACTCACCCTCTCAGAAGCTTGACCCCAAAAGTGAGTAATATAATCACAGTTTTTATTACTTGCTGGACAAGAAGAATAGTCGATACCATCCCCAGATGTAGTATTGTCTTGAGTCCCACACCAGGTCAAATTATTCACCATCCATCTATAACACAAAACAAAGGTTGCTAATTGCTATAGGTACGTACTAGTGAAATTTGCTAAGGGGAGGGGGGGGGAGGAAATTAAACTACTAAACTACACCAAATAAAAGTTGCGATATTGACTCATGGTCTAGTGGTATAGAACTGGTTCTTAGAGCAGGCTGTCATCATGTAAGGAAATCCAAGACAGTCTTGGATTCTGAATTCCATGCGGTGGATTCCGTATTCCAGTTACTTACAATTGATTCCAGTCTTTATCAATGGAACTTGGATTTCGGATTCCAATCGTTAGTGAGATTCCGCGTTCCTTGTGCTGTATTCTGGATTCTAAAGCCCCGGATTCCGGATTCCGCCTGCAAAATTTTCAAGGATTCCGGATTTCACAAGCAAAAATCAGTCCTGGATTCCGGAATCCGAACGCCTTAACATGGGGTGAGCAGGCGATCACTCTCCATTTTCCCTTTGCTTTTTTTTGTCCCCTCCCCCTGTCTTTTCTGCCCCTGTTACGCGTGCAAACTTCCCCTAAGCGTTTCTGTGCAACGAAGTGTTAGGATTGGCATGGCAGAGAAAAGTGAACGCTACACGAAAGGTTAAATAAATGGAATGAGGCCGTGTTCCATTTCCAGGCCGAAGTCGGCTTGTGGACAGTTATCTCCTTCATCGTCCTCCAAACATCGGCTTTACTGTTACTTAGGGGCATTTCCATTTATAGGAATTGATGAAGCGATGCGCCACGTCAGTTGAGGACTCCTTGTAACGTCACGTCCTTTCCACTTTGTAATTTGAGTGATGAACCAACTTAAATTGGTCCAAGGTGTCGGCCATCCTTACTTACCCTGCCATCGTATCTTCAAGAGTTGTAAACCTGGAGTCGAAATCTGAGAACAAATGCGCTTCTTTATACGTTCCTGACCAGAAGAGGCTCTAATAAGAAATAAAGTACAGCCAGTCAAATTCCGTTGATACGAACACTGGGGGGGAGGAGGGGGGAGGGAGGGGGAGGGGGGATGGAGCACAGAAAGGGTCCGTATTTACAGCGTGTCCGAATTTAGAGAAAGTGTAAGGGCTTTCTTTCCCCAGGGACAAGGTAAACTGTTCTTATTGTCGGTATTAAGCGGGTATCCGTAAACCGGGGTTTGGTTGCATTTTTTAAAAAACAAATTACTTAATATCTTAGATAACCAGATTCCTTCCGGATGAAGAACATTCTCGCTCAGCATAGAACTAGAACAACCCTAACTTTAGAGCCAATACGTCTATCATTTTTGCTGAAATGAGCAAAGCATCGTGCCCCTTAATCGAAGCCTTGCAAAAAATGAAAACACTGCACATGCGGATTGAAAAAGGTTGGTTTTCTTAATGTACTTGTTAAAAACAGGATAAAAGTTCTGAGTGGACAACACGAAATCAATCAAACAACCGAGTCAAGTTAGTCAATGAACAAGAACGTTACATCAAAAAATAAACCACCGCTTTAAGATAGAGTGACAGTGCATGCAATTTTTATAGCCATCAGCTGGCATCATATTGGAGTCGAAAATTGATCATCATCATCGCCATCATCCTTTTTTAATTGAAATGAAATGTTTTTAATTGAAATGACTTTTTTTTCATCGAAATGAATTTTAAATAAAGCTATGGCTGAAAAGTTTTTTAAACGAAATTAAATATAATTAGGTTTTAATGGTAAGCTTTGTTATCAATAAAATTGATTATTATTATACCATTATTTTTATTTTAATATCTTTATTACTTTTATAGTCATAATCATAATGATAATAATACTAATTATTATTATTATTATTATGTTAATACATAAAACGGTAAAAACGAATGATAAAATCCGACGTTTCGGAGTAGTCATGACTCCATTATCAAGGAAAAATGTTTTTGATCATGCAAACGTTTCGAGGTGCTTAAGAAAGGCGGGAAAAAATTAGACTGCTTGGTGTACGAAATGTTTTTCATAAGAACCTTAAAGACAAGCCTTAACGTGCAATCAGACTCTATTCGTGCAAAAGTATTTTCATAACCTTCGCACCTTGTTATGTTAATTTTCGCGCCACATCCCTTTAAATGCTGTAATTTGCATGATCAGAAACATTTTTCCTTGATCAGTTCGGGAGTATGCCAGTTTTGGAAGAAGCGAAAACAATGGTCTACGTCACCAACCATAACATGATCACCATGGCGATGGTCATTTTCAAAACATACAAAATGGCGGACAAGGGAGAGGAGAGGAGAGAGTATTGACCAAAATTCTCGTTTATTCTTGCTTTATCGAGCCTTTTATTTGTCTTTTCGTTACTATGAATTGGGAAGTACCTTGAGGACAGGGAGTAACCATTCTTGCGCTATAGTTCTTCGCTTATCGCGCGCTTAGTAGGCACTGCGTACTCACTGCGTATGTAATCAGTACATCGAAAATAGGTAAGCACGCCAACAAGTTTGTGCCTATTTATTTCATTATTTTTTTATATCATAAGGAAAAAAGAACGCTTTGGAAACAACTAAATAGTTAGTTGTTCTATAATTCATTTCCTTATGTTTGCTTTCACAGTAAGTGTTAATGTAATTTTTCCCGTTGCTTCTGTTTCTCTCCCGCGAGTGAGCGACTGGCCGGAGAAGACGGCTATAATTCAGGTTATTGTTTTGGTGCAAGCGAGTCATTTGTGAGTAAAATATCAGTTTTTTCGAATATGATGTTCTGTTGGTGTATGTCTTGAAGCGGTTCCGTCCAGGTATACAACAGGTTTACAAGGGATTTCTGAGGGTATTTGTGCCCTCGTTTTCTTCTTGAAAACCCACAAAGTGAAAATCTTACTTATCATCCCTGATCATTTTTGTTTTTGTCCCGCTTCAAAAAAACCTATTGCTTTCAATTATTCCACTTTCTGAAGTTCACTGATTATTTGGTCAAGCTTAACAAATGCAAGAGGCTCTTTAGAATTTGATAAACATATTGGAAAACTAAGAATTATGCTTGTTACATGCTTTTGGATCTATTGATTAAAATGGGACACTATAGTCTTGTAGTCCACCGGATTTGACCAGAGGTCAGAGATCAACAAGGTTATGGTTTGTTATAAAATATCCTCTTGTATGGGATTTGATGTTACATCCGAATAATACTAAATTATTGTTTTTAACTCTGGAGTTGCCTTTAAACCAAAGGCATTGTAACTTTGAGGAGCACTTTTCAAGTCTTCTCTGTGGGGACCCTCAAACAATTCTATTAGACAAGTTTTGGCCCAAAATAATAATGATTACTGCACTTGGCATGGACACAACATAAGTTTTCCAAAGTTCTTTTTCATAGCCGGTTCTTCATGTTTCTATTGAACAGCACTTTCAAGAAAACAAAGCTCACACATCAGAGTAAAGATTGTAATAAAAGTTATTTATTGTTACATTTTGTTTTTTGTAAATAAACATTTGATTTTAGGTCCTGACAGTTAATTCTTTCCGTATTACTGTTTTTGATTCTGACCTGCATGACTCGCTGCCATGGCTCGCTGGCTCGCATATTATACACACTCTTATATCTCAAAATCTTGTTTTTTTAACACCTTCTTGGACATGAAAACCAAAAACCAAAGCTTAATTGATATAATGAAGACAGTAGCAGCTGCCATAGGTTTTCAATAGTTATCTTGTGAGATTTCTCTCATGTATTATTTATTAGGGAGGATGATTTGTTGAAGACGATACATTAATATAGATGCTTTTTCACCAAGAGAATCTCAATAATTTAGGATTTATTCAAATACAAACATATTCAATACTATGACATAAAATGTGGGCTTATTGCTCATGCAAAGGTATTGATGGGGGAGAGTGTGGCATTTTTCCTGTTTTAGATTGACCTTTGCACAGCACAGGGACTGAACAAATTATGTATTTGGCATTTGTAAAGTACAAACAATATTTGATGCAAGGGATTGAACATTGTGTGAAGAAAATCTTCACAAGCCTCCACTTCCATGACTCCTTCCTCATCTATCTCCTTTACAGCCCCTTGAATGAAGGGCCACAGTCTCTTCTATGGTTGAATGGTCATTGAGTGTGAGCTTCCACTCACAAGGTATATAAGCCCCCCTCCAACATGTTTCCCTCTTACCCATTTTTGAGAGGGAGGAGGGGCTTTTGTGGTGGTAGGTAAGCCTGTGACCACACTACAAAGAAACAAAAACACATGTTTGATTTTACTGAGGTAGGGTTGAATTTGGACATTAAATTTTTTATTACAGAGTAACATGAGGCGAATCTAAAGCAACATTTTGCCCTCAGAGCACAAATATGTCGTTCTGAAGATATTTAACATTTGTCTTCCTCGTTCCTTTTCCCAGCTTTTTGGCACAAACGCGACAACATGTTTGTAATATGTCCAGATGTTTGTCTACATTTTGGACCGACATCCTGATCAAAATATAAGAAATCAATATAAGAACCTACTCACACTGATTTAAAACTCATTCCACACACATGATCTGGATCAATAAAGTGATTCCTAGATCAGAGTCGCATACATTGCCGGTGAACACAACCAAAAACAGACTTGATCCCTTAATATAACTAAAAATACATAGACAGACTAAGGCATAACCATCAATATAGTAACCCTTCCTGTCCGTTGGCAATTTTCAATGTGTGGTTACCATTTTTACTAGGTTGTTACCATCGATGAAACTTTGCCTGAACACACTTTACTCGTTGTAGTTTTGAGGAAAATTAGTCTTGATTTCGTAAAAATTCGGCAAGATACTGAAAACTAAACATAAAGACATGTACTTACATTCGATGCCCGTCAAGATGGCGGCAACGTCTTCGAACGCTGTTTGATAACTGTCGATTTTAACTACCGTAATGTGGCACGAAACTGCTCTTGACATTCAAAAAGCAAGGAAAAGGCTTCTTCATCAGCACTGCTAGCTCGGAAGTTCCGGATATTGAACGAGTGTACCTGGAACAGGCTTTGAAAAAAGCTCCCTTGTTTTTGGCGATTATTTTTTCCCATTTTGGCGTATTTTTAGCAGAACAATAGAATCATGACGTCATCGCTTCTTCCAAAACTGGCATACTCCCGAACTGTTGATAATGTCCGAAAGGTCGGATTTTATCGTTCGTTTTTACCGTTTTATGTCTAAAGAAATCTCTTTTAAAATTATATTAATATTATTATTATATTGTTATTATTATTATCATCATCATTATTATTAATTTTAATTTTAATTATTCTTTCGTGCCGCATATATCAGATTCGAGCCAAAAAAATACGTTACTAATATATTCTTGTTTAAAGAAGCGCTATTCACTTTAATATTTCAGCTGTTACCGTGCGTCAGCGTTAAGTTTGATTTAAGTGCTAAATTGTAAACACTAATTAATTTTAAGAAAAAGCCCTCTGAAAAAGCCTTTGAATTCCGAAATGTATTTTGCAAAAAGTTGCCAGTATGTGTTAACTTATTACGTAAGTGTTGTCAATCTCTCAACGGCGTCACGAGGAGTGTGTGAACTTTCTTAGTACATGCATGTACAAAGATGTAATCAGTTCAAAATGCGACACGGCTCAGAGAGCTCAGTGAGAGCTCACGTTTATAGCGTTCAAATCGAATCGAAATTTCTCTTGAATTCCGTAATTGTGCCTCAGTCTGGGCTCTCGTGCGGCTGTCAAATTAAAATTACACAACTCTGAGGACTTCTGCGGGTACAGTACAAATACTAATTTATATATTATATGAGCATAATTAGAGAATATTCATATTACCTTGTTCGGCTTTACTATATCCATGCCGACTTCATCAAAGTAAGGCTTATAATCTGCCAATGAAACGCTGCAAGGGTCCTTATAGGCAAATGCCTTGGAAAATATACCCCAGATTTTTGAGCAATTCTTGGTAACCTCGTGGCTCTTCAGTCGTTGATAGTCCCAACATCTTCCGATTACGATCTCCCTCAAATGAGTCGTTGATCCTTTGGGCACAGTTAAACTTACCAAATTAGAAAAAATTGTTAAGTACAATAGCACAGCCTGAAACATGTTAGGAGCTTCGACAGCGCTGAATGCACTAAAAATAAAAGAACTGTTATATTAGACAGGAAGTTTAAAAAGGAAGTTAGTTCACTGTTAATGGATTTGCATTGCATTAACCCAGTGTCTGATCTGTCACAAAGAGATTAAGTCACGGCATGGACATACGGAGTTAGAAAAGTAATGGGGCAACCGAGAGGGGTGGGGAAAATGATCAAAGTCCGAGACGGGAATTCACCCGAAAACAAGACTTGGAGACCTAGGAAACGCTTCAACATTACGAGATCGCGCCAAAATTTTCAAAGACCCACGAATTTCGAGGAACCATTCTTTACCCCTAGCTTCTGTACACCTCGAGTCTGTACTGAAGTAGTAATGTTTTGATAGTAATTCTTTCAGGGGGAAACTTAATTTTACATCTGCCCCGTTTTAGTCGGATGACGCGCAAGTGAAGGGCGCGCGAAAATATGAGCGCGTGATCTGGGAAAAGGGGGACGGTAGCGCGCCGTACTAATCAGAGTTTAGTTATCGTCTGCACGCAGGCTAGCGCCGACCCGACTATCTCAGAGCCTGGAACAAGCTGAACTTTATTTACCAACGAACACGAGCAAAACTTGTCTCTAATAAGCATGCCCAGCTTTTAAATTACATATGCATTTTTTATAGTGGGGGGTTAGATTAGTATTTTGAGGGGAGAGGGGTGAAGAAAGCAGTTTCAAAGGTTTGCCTCTTGTCGCTTGGTAACGTTTTTGTCGTGATTTTGAAAAAAAAGATTTATCTATCTATCTATCTTTAGGTTGAGACAAACTTACCGCAAGGGACACATACACCAACACACGGCCTGGCAGTGCCTCACACATGCGCACAGCCATATCACACGGGCAGTGGCAACCATGGACAGCTGTTTCGCCCTTATTTGGGCTCATCAGCATTTAGGTTACTTTACGTTCCCTCCAGCTGACTGACTTAACGAGTAAACTTCTGTTTCTGCATGCTGTTGCATGGCCTAATTTGTTGGCATACTGGGTTGTCACGGAAACAAGTAAAGACCAATATGGTCTACGGAACTAAGTTCAACCCCGGGGGGGGGGTCCTTGCGTTAATTTTTCCTAGTTATGTGCCGCTAGCCTCTCAGAGCCCCTACCCTATTATAGTCTATTCTGTGACTAATTATAGACCCCATTTTAGTCATTTTTGGGCAAATGTGATTTTAGCTATCCCAACTTAGTCACTTTCTATTTATGTATCTACCTTATCAATCCTTTGAATAGGTCATTCTAAAATGAATTGACCCATTTTTCAAATTAAATGAAGACTCGGCACGTAAATATGAAGAACTTTCTTTCCCCAAAATGCGAAAATATGCGACCCCATTCTAGTAACTCTATTGAAAATGCGACCCCATTATAGTCAATCCAGTCGTCTATTAGCCTCTTATAAGGAAGTAACCCCCATCGGGTTCAACTAGTCGTTTTAAGCTACGTGCAAAAGGAAGCAACAACTCCCAACATTGTTGGCCAATAATGTTGGGAGTTGATTGCACCCGTGTTGTCACCCGTGTTGGCAGTGGTATGCAAACGGATGCAGTAACTCCCGTTAATGTTTGGACCTGCAGTGCATCGTTGGAAATATAGGCTTGAGACTTTGTAAACCATGTATACCGAAAATGATCGATTAAGCGCCGCGGCGTCAATTTGGGTATTTACAAATTAACACCCCACCTTTGTTACGGCGCTTGATTTAAAGAGATATCAAAACCATATGGCTTGAGAAATTAAGACCTCGACCAACTCGTGAGTTCTAAAGTTTTAATTTAGGGAAACCCTTAAAACCAGGTTCATAAGTTCAGTAACATCTGTAAACCTGAAGAAGGCTTGTATGGCCAGCCGAAATATTGTTATAAAAAACAATACACGTTGTTTTAAATCAGCTTTGCAGTAGTCTTTGGACTTCTCGTTCTTGGTTTTTCATATAATACTTTTTCGAGGTGTTCATACTTATAAATATTAAATTGTGCGTACCTAGTACGCGCCTCACTTAATTCTCTCTATATTCCCCTCAGTGTTTTACTCGTAGTTGGAATAAGCGCCGCTCTCGTCTAAGCGCCGCACATATAGCAGGGAAAATGAAATAAGCGCCGCGGCGCTTAATCAATCATTTACGGTAATGCGCGTGTGTGGCCCCAACGATGCAAATGCATCCAACATTATTGCGTTACGCTTCGGCGATCACGAAACAAAAGAAACTGTGTTGGGAGTAGCCTCCCCGCGTCCTTTGGGGCTCGTTTGTCACGCATTCATTTCTGGAGAAATGACTGCGTGACAAACGAACCCCAAAGGACATCTGCGGCGGGGAGGCTATGTTGGGAGTTGTTGGCTTAAAAGTTTCACCGGCTTCAAAATTTGCGCAGTAACATGCAACACGGGTGTGCAAAAATGGATCCAACATGTAACATGTGTAACATCCAACAATGTTGGGACGGAGTTGTTGGCCAACAAAGTTGCGTCCGTTTGCATGGGGCTTAAGATAACTAAGCCTCTTTGTCGAAGATCTTCTGAGGATGAAACCCTCTTTATTTAGGCTCCTGTTTTCGCATAATTTGTATGTCACGAGAGTGTTGGTGTAGCACTCCCCCCCCCCCCATCACACCCCACCCTGCTAATGACCCTTGTCGGCTCCAGCCTTCTAGGGCACTGACAGTTGTTTTTTTTCCTGGGTCATATGCAAATTGTACCGCGGAAGACGTAGCCTTGCATTCGTTCTATTTGTACAAATCCTGAAACCTCGTAAACTTGTAGTTATCCTACAGCAGCAAACATCATGGGTCGAATACAGTTCCGAGGACGCGACGGAAACCGCCGTTTACGCTCGTGCTGCAGCGCTGTTTTGCGGCGTCTTCGACAGGATTTACTCCTGGTGCTAATTATTCTTGGCGTAATTATCGGTTTTATCATCGGTACTTCAGTAAACGAGCCCGTAAACAACATCAAAGACCCAGAATGGAAACAAACCACCATCATGTTGATAGGGTTTCCGGGCGAGCTCTTCATGAACATGCTCAAGCTGTTGATCCTGCCGCTTATTGTGGCAAGCCTGATAACTGCTCTCGCCACATTGGATTCCAAAGCCACTGGAAAAATCGGCCGCCGCACCGTGCTCTATTACCTTGGTACTATGCTCATCGCTGTGCTTATTGGCATTGTCCTGGTAGTTTCTATTCGCCCAGGTGAACGCAGCAGACCCGAGGTTGAGGAGACAAAACCTCTTTCAAGGCCTTACAGAGGGCTTGACTCTCTGCTCGATCTTTTGAGGTAAAAATACTTCCTTATGGAAAAGTATTCAATTTAGATGTAAACTCTTCGCAATTCTCCAAACGTTTTGTTCAGAATTGAAAGTCTAGTTAATAGCTTTTGCTTGAGAAGGATCATTTCAAGCTAGGGTTGCAGTTATTTGCATTTTTTTGCTAACTACGCCGGTAAACTGGGATGAGACTCAGTGTGTTTGGACAGTATCTTCTTGTGCGACTCGTTCCACGAAGGGGTTTTATTCGATTTGAAGAAACTGAAATTTCATTGATTATGCACCACTTTTTCCACCTTTCTCCGATACTGGCTGTGTTCGTTTTGTAGTGCATGTTAACACCTTAACTTAAGTCTGTTACGGCATCCATGCGGCACAGCGAGCGGTATGCATGACCGCATCCGAGTTGTTATTCAGCTTGTCTACGGCTCTGTGGTTTTCTTACACTAAGGTGTCAAAGATGTTAGAATTTTTTATGCTATCCTGTGATAAAGTAGGCAAAAACGTAATGCGTTGGTTGTCTTGTGTCTTGTATATACGACATATAACTCGGTAAGATTTTCTAGACTACTCTGCCGTGTGCGATCGCCTGTGAAATGCAATACACGATGTCGCTTCAGTCGCTCGTGGGTACGGGTCTATATCATATCATGCTTGTCCTTATAATCACGCGATCGTGCATAGTCGTCAAGAGTGCAAACGTTTTGATATTTCCTCCTTCAATAAGAGCGGTTTAAAATAACGTTCGCTTCAAAACATATCAAGGCACTTTTATCTCTCATGAAATAACGGTTATAAATCAGTTGTGGATGCATGCAGTTAAACAAAACGTAAACAAGAATATCAGACATTCCAGGTATGGTAACCCGATTAACCACGCGTCATCGACGACTGACAATACAGAATTGTGTTGCATGATCTAGTGTGGACATTGGGCCACATTCACATAAGAAAATTGAACGAACTTAATCATATTCATGAATGTTGTCGGGCTTGATGTGCTTTTTCTTTCGACAAAAGCACATCAAGCCCGACGACATTCATGAATATGATTAAGTTCGTTCAATTTTCTTATGTGAATGTGGCCCAATGTCCACACTAGATCATTGCCATTCTCCATTGCGTTTGAACACCATTTTTATCATCGAAAACGCAAACTGATTCAAACAGTCTTTATAATTAGGCTTTCCTACTCACGAAGACTCTTGAAACCTCCCCTCTTCCGCCCGTTGGTTGGGCCCTCACTCTGATTATTGGCGGGGTTTTTCAGTCCCGCAGCCCGTCGCTAATTTTTTATTCCATTCCACTGAACCCCTTCCCCGCTGCACTAATAGCATTTCATTCCGATCCCACCTGGTTTAAGCTCTGACCTCCTACTCGGATCACCATCGATCATCAGTATCAACTTGTAGATTTGCTACGACTTTCTTTTACGTGGAGCTTTGCCAATTTAAACAAGACAAATTCTAGAACTCAGATTTATGGTGCACGAAATTTATGGACGGCGCTTTTAGGATCCGAAGATTTTGAATCAGTTGCCTTACTTATTTCTACTTGGTAAAACAAGTTTGCATGACTGTTTCGTTACGCTTTGTTATATAGGAGCTGTTTTCCAGTTAACATTGTGGAAGCTTCATTCATGCAGGTCAGTATAATAGTTATCTAAACATGTATGTGACGTCTTGAGAGCAAAAATCTCTCAAGGATACCTTAGTGTCTTTTGCGGTTATTTATAAGGTTACCTTTTTCATATTGTTTTTTACTGTATAGCATATATGATAGACGGATTTGAACTACACTACGGCTTGGAAAATTTAATTACAACAAAGGAATGTTTTCCAAGTACTCCGTAGACTCGGAGTCAACTATTGTGGGCCTTGTCACATCACCCCCCCTGGCAAAAACGTCCCGCTTTGTGCTGTCATAGTACTCTTTAAGCAAAAGGGAAAAACGCATCAGGTCTGTTTGTGTCATTCACTTTGTTCTGTTTGTCTAAGTTTTGTTTTGTTACTTGTCGTTGTCTTTTTTTGTTTCTTTGTTCGTCATCTTTTTCATTGCCTTTTTTAAAGTTTTTTTAGTCGGCTTTTCTTTATCCCTTTTAGAGTGGGCGTTAATTTCGTTTGTCCTGTGTTTCAGGGCCTAAGCATTCCATATTAGGACTAAATTGTTTTTCCGCGAAAGGTCATATGACATCATATCATGTCTTCGGAATAGGGTCGAGTAGTGTTCGTCAAAAAGCGTCGTTGACGATAACCGTTTTTTGTGAGCGTGTAGTAATCATCTTTACTTTGTAAAGGTCAGCGAAAAACGACAAGCTTAACAATTAAAAACGGGGGACGATAGTCTGCTGTTTACCGTTTGCCGTGAACATGAAGCTGGTCGTAAACACTCTAATATTTTTTGTCTTGACTGAACTGAAATCCACCTGCTGAGTACAAAATCAAGGATAGTATAGTCACAGAAAGAATAAATGTATGTATGTCCTATCCTTCAAAAACGAACCCGGAAAAGATCGCGCTCTCCTCGAAAACTGGCGGCCGATATCCCTTGTTAATGTTGATACGAAAATTATGTCCAAGGTGATCGCAGCAAGGATTAAAAAGGTGCTACCCAGTATCATTCACTGCAACCAGACTGGTTATGTTAAAGATCGTTTCATTGGTGAAGCAATACGTTCTATTTTCGATATTATGGATTTCACAGCTAAGGAAAACATCCCAGGTTTACTGCTGTTTATAGATTTTCGAAAAGCTTTTGATAGTGTGGAATGGGAATTTCTCTTTGAGAGTCTTAATATAAAAAGTTTAACTTTGGTCGAGACTTCCTTCAATGGGTGAAAACCTTTTATAACAACCTTCAATGGCGTTAGTTCTAACTTTTTTACTTTGGAACGCGGTGTTAGGCTGGGTGATCCACTCTCTCCTTACTTATTTATAATTGCTGTAGAAACTTTTAAATTAGCAATTGCTATAAGGCAAAAAGAGACAATTTAAGGAATCACAATACGAACTGAGGAAACTAAGCTTTTACAGTTTGTAGACGATACAACCGCTGTGTTAGGTGACACAAGCTCGGCCGAAAGATTATTTGAACTACTTAACAAATTCGAAATTCTCTCTGGACTCAAGATTAACTGTTCAAAAACTGAAGGTATGTGGATTGGATCTAAGAGACATTATAAAGAAAAACCATTCGGTATTAAATGGTCGGACGAACCAATAAAAGCTCTAGGTGTATATTTTACTTACGACCAAAAATTGCTTAAAGAAAAGAATTTTATTGAACGACTGGATTCAATTAAAAAACTTATTAATATATGGTCCGCTAGAGGCCTGTTGATATACGGTAAGGTGAAATAATCAAATCTTTTCTTATCCCTAAGTACATTTACGTTTGTTCGATCCTTCCATCTCCCAAGGAATTACTAAAAGAATTGAATAAAATGCTATTTGAATTTCTCTGGAAAGGTGTAGATAAGTTAACAAGAGCTTCAGTTATAAACGAATACGAAGATGGAGGGCTAAGAATGGTTGATCTCGAGTGCATAGTTAAATCATTGAGATTAGCTTGGTTAAAACGTATCTTCAGTGGGACTAATGGAACTTGGAAAAGCTACCTACAACACTTCTGAGTTCCGTTGGGGGATTGTTCTTTTTTAACTGCAACTACAATTTCTCGGATTACACAATTCCTTCTCAATTTTATCGGGAACTTTTGTTATGGTGGTCGCAATTTCGTGAAACGTTTGCCACTGAAGAAGATTGGAAAACCATAATCTGGAATAACAAAGAAATAAAAGTAGAAAACAAGCCGGTTTATTATAAACATTATGTTAATGCGAGCGTCATTTGCATTCAAGATCTTTTATTTAGTGTGAACAGTACTGATTCTTATAATCAACTGTCTAAAAAATATTTTAGAATGGGCTGGCTTACGTACGTCCATTCCATTGTTGTTAAGAAGTTATGACAGGTATCCTTCCATAAACTCTCCAACATTTGTGGTGCGTAACAATAATTTTGATGTTACGAAAGGGAAATCAAAGGATTACTACAACCTACTCATCAGAGAAAAAGCTAAACCGCCCAATATTATTAAAAAATTACAGAGTAACTTTCATTTTAACAGCGACAATCTGAAGCAAATATTTAAGCTGCCACACTCTATCGTTGTCGAATCGTATGTTAAAGCCTTTCAGTACAAAGTAATTAACTCAATTCTTTACACAAATACAAAGTTGTATAACATAGGTTTTTGAACAAATAATTTATGTACTTTCTGCGACAATCAACCCGAATCATTAACCCATTTGTTTCTATCACTGCTCACGTTGTAAACAGTTTGGATTGAATTTGAATTATATTGGTGCCTTATTTCGAATCAACGAATTCGTCTCTGCTTGGAAAATGTGCTCTTTGGAATTTTGACGGAAAATGCTTGCCCTTTACTTCAATTGCTGAACTTTTTTATAATTATTGGACTATTTGTGGGACTGTAGGAACAAACAAATCCTTCCAAACATTTATGGATTTAGGGGGAAGATCATCGCTAAATATGAAACAGAAGAAAAAATCAGCAACAAAGAATTCTTGAAAAGAAAGTGGATACTGACGCCTTATTTTTAACTCCGTATTATTTCATTGCCCTGTTGTACTTTTTTCTAATTTCTTTTAGCCCTGTAATAATTCAACAATTAATTTTGCGTTACTCTGCTAATGTAAATTGTTAAAGTGTTTTTTTGTAGTATTGTAACTGTAATTATTTAATGTGATTATCAATAAATATATTTACATAAAAAAAAAAATGAACCCTTCTAGAAGACTCTAAAGTTGAATTGACTTTCCTGGTATTGTTACTATACTTCACCCAGTGTAGAATACACGAAATTCCTATTTTATCTCTCTGACAGAAAAGGACCAAATATAGATCTGTGAAGCCAATATACCACGAATACAACAAGACAGTCGACGCACAGTCCATTCCGGCAAATAGTTCCATGAGGATATTCAACAATGGAACGATCAACTATACGACGATTCGCGAAAAACTCGCACCAGGATCAGATCTCGTTCCCAATGGCCTCGAGATAGCATCCCGTAACATGAATGTTCTTGGGTTGGTTGTGTTCTCTATCGTTTTTGGCATCGTGCTGGGTCGTGTTAAAGAGCGAGGGATTCCAGTAAAGCAATTTTTCGAGTCTCTGAATGAAATTATCATGGAAATGATTGGCTTGGTCATGTGGTAAGGGTTATTTGTTGTATATTAAAATGGTAATAATATAGTAACTTTTGATGCCGTTGATAAAGATGATATGATGATGATGATGATGACGATCATGATGATGATGATGGTGATGATGATGATGATGATGATGATGATGATGATGATGATGGTGATGATGATGGTTGTTGTGGTGGAGGTGGTGGTGGTTGGAATGATAGTGACGATGATGACGAGGATAATGCTAATATGCTTTATGTTCATGACTCTAACGAAGGTTATAATGATAATAACGATGACGAAAATGAAAAAAAAATAATGATAACTATCGGATAATAACGATGGTAACTTGTCCGTAATGTATCCTTAATTATTTTTGTTTATTTTTCACAGGCTTTCTCCCATTGGCATCTGTAGTTTAATAGCAGCCAAACTAGTAGCTATGGATGATATCGGTCAAGCATTCGAGATGCTGGGTTATGTGATGGGTACTGCCACTGCTGGCCTCTTTTTACACGGTGTGATCATTTTGCCGCTTGTCTATTTTATATTCACAAGGAAAAACCCGATAATATACCTTAAGAACCTTTCTGATGCTGTGGCCACAGCATATGGTACAGATTCCAGGTAAATTCCACAATATAATTACAATACCTCAATTTTTTTGAAGATTTTATGAAGATGTTTAGCGAGAGTTCTTTAATTCGTTACCTCCAAGAGTCGTCTAATGTACAGAAGCTGGGTTTTTAGTCTTGTATCGTGTAAGGTGTAAGGTGTAAGGCCACAGCCATGACTCAAGTGACCAATAACCTGAGAGACAGTTCTCACTGACGAGGCGTCACGCCTTTTTGCAATTAAAGATGAACTCAATTGACAAAATAATTATGTTTTCCTTCCCCATAGCTTCTTATTTTCTTACTTTGCCTCAAGACTCTCTATTGAGGGGAGAGGGGGATACTTTTTCTTTGTCCCGAAACCCAGGTCTAACCTCCATTCAGTGGACACCTTAGTACTCAAAACGTGACTGACTAAAAAGTGGGTTGCTTTTTAAGTTAAAGTGTACACGCTGATCACACTAACGATAGCTTTCACAACATGGGAAATCAACACACAATATAGCAGAGAACGTAAATCGTGATTTTTTATATACATTATTTAGCTGTTTGAAACAATGACTGCAACAGATCCAGAGACAGGTCAATTATCATTGGTTGTTGGTAAATTGTTATCAGACCTTAGCCCAACTTCTATTCAAGGCACATTTTTTTCGGTCCCGAGGGTGTCCCCTGAAAGAGAGGTTCCAAAGTAATTGGCTTCGGTTTGCAACTATTTAACAATTATTCCTCGAGCCCGAATGGGCTCTGAGTCAATGGGCTATTGACTCAGAGACCATGAGGGCGATAGGAATAATTGTTTTAGTAAAATCCTACTAGTTGGTAAAAAATATCGAGAATAAAGAAAATTTAGCTAGTTAAAGCTAGACTTAAATCCTATTTTGCCGCCAAAAAGCCCGTGCTTTTCGCTACTAGGGGGCTATAACATTTAGCCTAGTAGTAGCTCAACCAATCAGAACGCAGCATTGATAACTAGGTGAATTTTCCTAATAATGGAACAACCACTCTCTGTTTTTACCTTTAAATTATTAACCTAGCGCGGCCACTTTGCCAACCACTATCAAATGCACTGAGGAGTACAATGGTATCGATAAACGCATCAGTCGTTTTGTTCTTCCGCTGGGAGCCACTGTCAACATGGACGGGACAGCTTTGTATGAAGGCGTTTGTGCCCTGTGGATCGCCCAGCTGCATGGTATTGACCTCAGTGCTGGGCAGGTTATCACTACCGTGTATGTACCATTATACACCGCTTTAGACGTTTCTCTTAAGGTTCGGTAAAACGGGCAACGAAAATGTGCAATTCGTTTTGCAACATCAAACGTTGCACATTTACCATCCACGAATCAAACCTGTCTTGCAACAAATCAAGTCGTTGCGGGTTTCGAAAGGTTGTTGCAGTAAGTAAAGAGAGATTCTCCTTTTTCCAAAAAAATATTGTACATGTCACGCGTTTTACTGGTCCAAGGCAAACTTATTTTGCATCAAGTGACGTGAATCCCTCTCAGTATGGCGTAACTCCGCAACTTGCAACATTCTGATTGTTGCAAGACGAATTTGAAATTAGCGGATATAACGCCCCTTTTCTTAAGGGAAAAACTTCGTGGGGCAGAAATATTGCAAAACAAGTTGCACGTTTTTGTTCCCCGTTTCAACCGTAGCATAAGGGCAAGTTATGAAACCATCCAGAATAGATTTACCGGAAATATAAGATGCAGTGGGTATAGATTTCGGACTGAATGAAACTCATCGGTATGGTGTTGAATTGGCTTTGCTGGAAATATCACTGTGATGGAATAGTAACCTAGGAGAGGAGGAGGAGATGAAGGGGGGGGGGGGATTCATGACTTAGCTCCTCCGGGCACTTCCCAAACGGATCACAGTTACCGTGTTGAGTGACGGTATCCAAGAGAAATACAGGAAAGCCAAAAACTAAAAAAGCATGTTGTAAACAATATTTAAAGTTGTGGCTTATAAAACTAAGAAATCATCTACATTTATCATAATTGGCGATGATTTTGTCAGGGAAAGACTTTTATTTATGAATTTTTAGACTAAAGCTTGTATTCAAGGAAATTAGGCAGACATTAAAAATATCCTAACCGACCCCGTTTTGATTAATGTTATCAATAAAATTAATCAAATACATTAATGAATGTAATCCCTTATTTGGCGTCTATTCTCACTTTCAGGCTCACTTCCATGGCTGCAGCAGTGGGCGCGGCTGCAATTCCATCTGCAGGCTTGGTTACCATGTTGATTGTCCTTCAAGCTGTCAATCTGCCAACCGAAGACGTAGCTCTTCTTTGGGCCGTTGATTGGTTCATGTAAGCCAGAAAGTTCCATCTTATTTTCTTTATGTCTTTGGTTTCTTTGCCTTCCGCTTGTGCACTTTCGTTTTCCGTATTCAAGCTGTTGTACGAAGAGAATAAAGTGGAAGCAAGTGACAAATGGTCTCAAATTTTAAGAGCTAGCTTCGATCACTTAAATCCACAGGGGGCTCGAATGTCTCTTTGCAGTCATAATATGAAATGTGTGGCTATCTTGAGTTTATGCTTGAAGGCATGCTCTAGTTCGTTGTCACAAACAGTGTTTTTGTCGATAGTTACGAGGTGCCAGTTAAAGGATTAACAAAAAACTTCAACTTTTTTAAAAAAATACTTTAGATGATGATAATTTTTTTTTTTTGCAGGGATCGTTTCCGAACTGTGGTGAATGTTCTTGGTGATGCCATTGGGGCTGGAATAGTGGCACACCTGTCACGTGATGAGCTAAGGGAGGCTGACGAGGCAAATAAAGGAGATGACCAGGAGCTGCTCGAAAAATACAGGCCTAAGGACCCGGATATGGTTGTGTCCGGCTTGTAAAATTATTCGTTTTGAACCATGTTTAGAACCTATAAATGAGCATTTCCAAGGGGATTCTTGAAATTGTACGCGAGTAGTTTTTCGAAGATTTTCTTTACAACGAACCGCACGGCAATGACCATATAGTTTTTAGACACTTTTACAGGTGTATTCGTAACAAAGCTTGAAAAGTTAACTTGTTTTGCAACTTTGTCAATAGCAACGCACTGCTCAGTATATTAAACTTTGAAAGGTGAAAATGACAACCTTATCTTTAAAATATTTTCCACAGCTTTTTCAAGTGTCTGTCGCTTGACCCCGGTCAGTCAAGCATCTGTAACAGAGTTCAAAGAACTCAAAGAAGTGTTTTATTGCATATGCGCATGCGTTATTGACCAATATTGCCAAGTTTGTCTGTTTGTTTATTTCGTTTTGTTTTGTTTTGTTTTTTTGTTTTATGGACCGAGACAAAGTCAAAGAAAGCTAAGGGTTTATTACCCTGTGAACGAAGTTGGTTTATTTCCACATATGTATTACTGGGATGGATTTTTTTCTTTAGCTTGCTGGGCCGGTTCATGCGTGTTTCACGTACGAAGGCAGATTGATTAAAAAGTTGCAGAGATTTATAAATGTTACATTATAACCTAACACAGATACCTAGCATCCCTTGTTTTTCTTTGTTTTTTTACCGATTTTGGACCAGTGATGCCAATTTTGAAAAAGAGATTTAAAAAGTTGCAGTTTTAACTACTAGAAAAAAAACCCGTTTGGGACCTTGTGGATCTCGTAAAATCTTAGAGCTTCTTTTCTTAAACGAATCGATATTCTTGCAAACAGTCAGCTTATCTTGTCAAAGTTCGGCATTATTTTTAACACAGGTGCGTGATGGTACCACAGTACGAATCCAGATTAACGCTTACCGCGTGGCCATTAGCTAATGAGGCCTGGAAACTGTACAAGGTCAAATCCGCATCCTGGCATCCTTTGGTGGCGTACTGGATATTACTGGCCGAGAACTCCAACTTTTAACCTCCCCCGCTGGAAAAATTATTTTTTTCAAAAGCTGTTGTTCACATTAGCCAATCGCAAATCGTCAAAGAAAAAACTCGCGCCCACGTCTAAATTTAAAAAAAGAACTTTAAACATCTGACCCCTGTTGTTCAAAAGTTGGATAGCCCTACCCACCGAGTAAATCTCTCTCCACTGGACAGCGCTATTGGTTTCCCTAAAACTAATCCGCTGGATAGTGATTTATCGGGTTGATATTTGAACCACTGGGACCTGATGTCTGGGTTCCTGCTGACGTACATGTACACGTAATCGCCGATTAAGCAGCGGTCTTTCAGTTTATGAATCATTGCGTGTGTTACAAATAAGTAGCGAGAAATGATCCACTTTGACTTGGAAATAGGGAGCTTTATAAGTCTGACCACGAAGGTGGCGGCCTCGAAAAAAGGGAATTTGCGCTAGGCAAGCTTCATTTTTCCATGGAGTTAATTTTAGACTACTCTGTCTTATTGTCAGGACTGTAAAAGCAAAAAAGAATCGTTTCCTTGATTCTCGCTCTTCAAGGATCACGAAGGCTGCTGGATTCGTTTCCCTACATGGGGAAGCTTTATTGGTTTTCATACCAAGGGCAGTGCTATTTATCCCAGCCTAGCGTGTTTCGTTCGAATTTCGTGAAAAAGTCGTGTTGGAACCGGGTAGTGGATGCTGAGACTCAAGCATAATCCACGAAACTCTGTGTGAGCATTTCTGAAGGACAGCAACAACTTACTGTAGAGTAAGCCTTTTCACTGACTTATAGCTGGTATTTCCTACAAGTTTCAGGATCGGACTTTACCGGTCATACAAGCAATGTCATTATAAAGGTACTCTACGTACTGTAATACTACCACGTAGTCTGGGTTACCTTTTGTTTTAGTGCCATCTGACGATGACAAAGCGATCCCCTCCATCACCTTATGTGGTTTGAGTCCAATTACCTCATGCGGGAATGAGATATTCACCTGTTGTTTGCAAAAAAAAGTTAGGTAATTAATTCATCTGTCAGGTGTTAATTAGGATTTTAAACTCTAAAAATTCCTACCCTGCGATTATATTATCCTAGGGTTATGGTATTTTTCAAAGTCAAATAGATTGCACTGTCTCAGTTTTTTTAAAACAAATTAATGCCGGTCGCTTGATGCTGCTTTTGTAATCGTTTTGTAATCGGTTTGTTCGGTGTACTCTACGTTGTCTTTCATTATTCAATGCCCCAATTGGATGACTGTGTGCAAGAGCCATCCCCATTATGGCTCTTAATGTATAGTGCCACGTCGTTTCCAAACTTTATCCATTGAACTGTGCCAACTATTTCGTGAATTTTAGCAATAACACCTAGGGATACATGGCTTATGATCATGTATACTTAGGCCAAGGGAGTAGCTTCACCAGTGTTAAAAAACATGTATTATTGCGATATGAATATTAATAACCTATGGGTTCCCACCGCAGATGGTAGGCATATTCAATTTGAATAGGATTTATAGCTCAGTTTCACTTTTAGGCTCTTAATTAAGAATTTTGCCTGCTATTAGAAGATTTACAATACCACTACACAGCTCATCAAAATTTCCTTCAACTTTCCTGTAAAGGAAAGTGTTAATTTTGAAACCAATTTGCCGAATTTTTACACCATGTAATGTATAGTAAATATACATAAAGCAATTGAATGCTGACCTAATTAACCAAAATACTATTATGATAATGTGCTTGTCAGTTAGAAACACCTTTTATAAAGCGGTAACTATTAAGAAGCCGAAATTTCGCGAAGAATACCTCACTGAACAGGCACTGCACATCACAGTTCAGTTTTCCAGGTAAGTTTTTCATGATCAGCTGAGAACGAAGTAATTTGTATTAGCCATTACCGCGTTTCATAAAAAGAAAATAAACTTTGTGGGTTTATTTGTATCAAAAGCTGTTGAAACGTGGACGTTGTTGTCGTTTTAACCTATCATACCGAGGCCTAGTTATACTGAAAAGTAAAAATTCTATTCAAAACCTGTCAAAATGAAACCAATGGACAAATTCAACTTGATGTCTAATGTTCGACTCGGAGATGGAGTAATCATGTCCGGAAAGTTACTTCTTAAAACAGTTTTTATATCTGCACCTGTTGCCACGGAGTAAATAGTTTTTAGAAAGGACTTCTCTTTATTTATTTCAATCGTTAAACTAACATCAACTCTACTCAGTGTATGTACAACGTCTGCAGCTATCACCCAGCAATCTGAGCATTGTAACAAAGTCTTAAAGCTGATGCAGGTGCAAATATTTAGGGTGGTAGCTAGTTGATTAGAGAAGACTGAAGTTATAAGCGATTGAAGAAAGAAGAAAAAGAAAGGAAAAGAGATAAACCAGTTCATCAGTTTTAAGCTAAACGAAGGGATAGGTTTGTAACGAATGCGAAGCGTTTTATGATAAGATATCAAATGACATTTAACTCGAACTCAAAATCGCTGATCAGAACTAAATATAAATTAAAATACTCTAAATGGTGGAAAGCTGACCTTCGCAGGTATTGCTGGTTCCACTCTTCCAACGAGCTAATAAAAATAAAGAAAATATCTGGTAAATAAACAAGGAAAATAACGCGTCCTGACAGAATCAAATGGATCACGCTCTTTGCAATTGTTCAGTCACGTAATGCATAAAACACCTTGTTTGAGAGGCACAAGAAAAACTTAAAGCTTACACTATTTTTAAAGGTGTTAGCGTGTTATTATAGGCTCTAATATCATAGGTGACGAATTACTCCTTAATTTTGGCGCGAAATTTCAGCGTTTATACCACTACATGAGAAATTTCTGCAATTTGATTGGCTTAGAGCAGTGGTATTTCAGCTTAATTTGAAATACCTACATGTGAAAATTACAAACCTTTTGCGGGTAGCAGTATAAACAAATAATAGCATGATTTGTACGTGATATTTGGCATAAATACCACTCGTGATTTTTCCAAATTGTCACAAATTTCACTCGCCTAACGGCTCATGAAATTACGTATAACAAATTGGAAATATCACTCGTGGTATTTATGCCAAATATCACTACAAATCATGCTATTACCTGTACTAATTTGTAATTTCACATGTGAAATTACAAAATTGCCATGGCAACCTTCCGCACGTCTCAGTGTCAATTTTAAAATGCCGTGAATGAATATGTCGGGGCACAGAAAGACGCTTTAGAAAACCTGAACACACAAGAAAACACCAAGAAGGATTCTAACAGGTATTTTGCAGAAAAAGTCTTAAAAATTCTGAACTTTAGAAGCCAAATTTAAGGTCTAAACATTTGAGAGAGTGGAGTTCTCGATCGATACGATCCAGGATAACGTAATTCGTCACCCATGATATTAATAGGTAATCAAATGGTATAATCGTGAAATTAGGGAATGATTTCACTTGCGTTTTGTCCAAATCCTAATAATTTCCCTTGCCTAAAGGCTCGGAAAATTATAAGGATTTGGACAAAACGCGCGTGAAATTATTCCCTACTTTCACTCGTCACCATTTGATTACACATACATATTGTCTGACCAGGTAAAAAACGGTCGTCTGCTGCACTTCTTAAAATAAATTGGGCTGGAGGGGGGGTGGGGGGGGGGCGGTGGGGAGAGGCATAAAGACCAGGTTCGCTGAGAAATACTGGGGGCTGAGTTAAATAACTCTTAACCACAATTCCACAGGGACCTAACTTCAGACGTGTTCTCTAAATATGGCGAGGTTTACACTTTTGCTCTAGCATGAATTTCGGCGGCCTCCATGCAGTCAGCGCTAAGTCGCTTGATCACGACTTAGCGAAAGGAGTAGGTGCCAGAAATTCAGCCTGCTCTTGCCCTGGCCGACTGTAAAGGGGCCAAGTTTTGACCATTTTCCTCTCATATTTTCATAACATTGCACATAATTTTAATTTTATCCAATATTTTTGGGCCTCTTCTTGGAAACGGATGTAAAATTGTAAATTGTGAAATTGAAGACTGGAATTAGATTGGTTGATTAGCTGCTAACCTGCGTCGCAGACAGTCTAATGCTGGTTCTCGAGTGATAAGTCCAGCTGCAAAGCGCGCAGGCTAATTCAGTACTTCCAAATCTATTTTTCCTTTCTTAGAAATGATAAGCTTTCTGTCGGTATTATATAGATATATACATATATAAGTAAACGGCGGTCTGATATTATACTTCTTAGATAAATACATTAATGGATTATTGGATGGAAGGTTGTTGATTGATAATTAGGTTTAGGTGCTTGTTAGTTTGTTCATCGACCGGTTGGTTTGATTGAGACCAACGTATTTGACGCCTTTCCCGGCTCGCGCCTTTTTGCACGCCTGCCATTTTTTTTTCCCGGGCGCGTTTTTCTAGAAGGACCAAGAACAAAGAAGTGCTTGCTGCCGCTTGTTTTATTTAATAATCTATAATTCTGTTTCAGAACTGCAATAATGAACTGGGCGAAATTGTTTTCTGCGTTCGCTCTCGGAAATTTTTTGATTTTCTACCAGCCTTCTGCAGCTGAAAGCGATTCCTCTGGAGAAGGGGAAGAAGAAGAGCACCATAAAATACCTCTGGTGTTTGGATGGATAGAAAAGCCCCCATACGCAACACCACCAACAAATGGATCTTTAGACAATGAAGCGCAGGGAATGATACGTGATGCAATAAGCCCTTATATTCTGAAGGAGTGTGGACGTGATCGGAGGATAAAATATCAAGTGGCCACTAAGAAATTCGAAAGCGAATTTGAAATGATCGAGTTACTGAGGCAAAACAAAGTTCACGTCGCGCTTCCGATATTTGAGAATCCAGAAAATCGTAAATACATAGACTTGCCGTTTTTTAAACTTGATGATTATCACGGAACAGAATTTATCACTACTGAGGATGACACTACCGCGCTTACAGTTGTAATGGATTCTGTTTTGAAGTCTTGGCCATTACTCGCTGTCTTACTCGTACTTACAGCTATTGCTGGAATTATAATGTGGGCTTTGGTAAGTGTAACTACATTATAAAACAGCTTTGTACGCACAATATTGCAAAGCCAAACAATGCAAGTTATTGAACCGCCGTTGTCTTTTTCAAGTAATGCAGCGTGTTTTAAATTAGGTCTTCTAACTCTCTGAGGACCCTGACTCGTTCCCAGTCGTCTTCGTGTAACCCGCGCGGCGGGAGCAGAGGGTGATGGGAAGGGAAAAGGGTTTACCCCTCGCGCCACTAAGGAGAGATAGATAGAGACGACAGGTGACGAGTAAGCTGAGGACCTACTGAAACGTAACCGTTCTGTGGTGAAAGAAAAAAACTAACTGTAAATAACTGATTAAAAACAATCTGAAGGCATTCAGTAAACTTCAGTTCAAATTGTCAATACCTTCACTGGTGTCAATCAAGCGATACATCTATTGCTGCTGCTTTGCAAACGTTCATCCTGCTCATACAAATAACTCAGTGTGCGAACGATTGTCTCTCACCTTTGTTCAAATTCGGCAGGACACGTACTGGAATAGTGAAGAATTTCCTCGCTCATTTATCAAAGGATCATGGGATGGATTCTGGTGGTCTTTTATTTCTATGACCACAGTAGGGTAGGTAACTGCTTTCCAGCAAGGCGGAAGCCAATTTTGGCCTGTTGTTATGGTAGCTCTTCCGTACTACTGCCTCTACTTGGCGCTCGTGCTAAACTGATTCAGTGAGATTTAGCTAAAACTCAAAAAGACAAAAAGTTGTAGTCAAAAAGGGGATAAAAAGTAACAGGATACCAAACACAGCAAGCAATCAGACAAAATCAAACTCCACGGTATGGTCCGTACCATACGCACGCTCAAAGCCATATCATAAAGGGCCAGAACACGGCCCGTTTCATCATACAGAGGGCTGATAGCTTTGCAGCGATGATAAGCTCAAATGGATGGCAAAACATTGCCAGGGTAGTATGCACGCATGCGTAAAATGCTGGCTATATAACAAGAGTCTGGTTATGTGTGCTTCTTTCCTGACCTCGTATCATGAATAAGTAACCACTTGCTAACAGCATCAAGGATCAGACGCATGTTGACTCAATACTGCTGACTGGCTACACCTTTAGTTGCGATTATAACGGTTGAAGATACCCACTACTCCAGTCACATCATAAAAAATGTGTGAGCAGAAGTCAGTTGCTAGATGACGTTTTAGAAAATCAAATGTTACTACAGATTCACAGTTTCCAGTCCAAATCGTTGCACAATAATCGTTGGGCGTAAATGCATAGGCTCACTAAATCAAACATCTAAAGTTCACTGCAGCAGTTCAGATAAAACGTTAACTGACAGTAATCTAATAATTTTTGCTATTAACAGCTATGGAGACAAATCTCCCAAGTCGATCGTTGCTCGGATATTTTCCATCATTTGGATTATGATGGGTCTCATTGTCATGGCAATATTCACGGCCAGCGTCACTTCAGCTTTGACAGCGGCTTCTTTGGATCTTGAGCCAAGCAACCTTGAAGGATATAAGGTATTATAACATCTAAGACTACTCTCCTTTCAATGGGCAAATCAGTCACAAAAAAAACTTTGTCGGTTGAATTTGGGAATCACCCAAATCTTTAATATCGTAATTTCCAATCAACTTCATCGTCATCATCATCGTCATCAAGGATTAGCACAGTCGGTTAGCAAGTGCGCAGCCTTCTGCGCGGAGGCTCCGAGCTGAATTCCCAGCGAGTGTGACCTCAAATCCTTGTTTTGACTTCTTTCCTTACCATGTAGCTTTAAATAGCTTTAAATACCCGTAAGACAGAGGACCAATGAAGAGAGGGAGGTAAAATAAGCGCGCCGTCATCCTCAGTTAATACAGGTTATAATTTACCGACGTAAAATAAGGACACTATTGGTCGATCATCATTATCATATAACATTTAGAAAGAAAATTTTTTTCTCAGTTGATTCAAATAATTTGTATATACAATTATCCGCCCGCGATGGTTTAAAGTAACGGACACCTAAATACACGAGATCTTTCGATTGCAGGTAGATTCTCTGAGTCAGCTTTCTACCATCAACGGGCCTCAAATCGTTTTGCGTTAGAAAGCAGATTAAGTAAATCTCATCGATATTACACCACGAAAGTCAAACTAGAAAAACTTTAGAGTAATAATAAAATCCCTCTATCTTATTTCTATTAGATTGCTGTGTTGGGTAACGGGACGGAATACCAGCATGCGCTACTCGAAGATGCTCATCCAACAGGTATTTTCAAAGCTTTGACACGCACTCCTATACTACTTCATCTTATCTTAAGTGGCCAAAACTTGTGTCCCACATTATGCTAACCCCAAAACGATTTGTTGCACTTCTTTGTATAGAGTACAAAAACATTGAAGAAATCGTACAAGCGATGAATACAGACGAAGTTGATGGGATGATGTTAGACCACTACACAGCTTCTTACTATCAGCAAAGAGACAAATTAAAATCATTCGTCACTGTCAAGAATCTTGAGCTCCGCAGAGAAGTTGGACTGCTTTTTTCTGAAGACAGGAGGTTCATTGCAAAATGCTTTTTGCTTTATCGCTCAAATATTTGGCGATTGGCTCAAACAATTACAGGAACGTTTAAGGTACTAAAGAGTCTTCAGAGGGACTAACTTCATTGCCTGAGTAAATGAGTGCAATAGAGATTGAGAAGAGAACTGTGACGTCACAAAAATTCAAATTTGTGAAATTGAGGATTGGTCAGCATATTCAAAAAGAACAAGATGAAAAAAGCCCTCTTGAAAAAAATCAGCCTGTTAGTCCAAATTGGCAAGGAGATAAAAGCACGGGTTGGCTCTGATGACTTCTTTCGAGATCCTTCTAAAATTGGCTTGGATCTTAACTTTAACGATTAAGGTCTATTTTAGAAGGATTTACGAGGATCATCGGAGCATAGTATGCTTATATACCGCCAATATGCACCAACAGGCTAATGTTTAGCAAGTGAACATTTTCTATCTTGTTCAGTCTTTGTGGATGAGCCAACCAATCGCATAATTTCGGAAAATTAGTTTTTGTGATGCCATGACTTCTCTTCCAGCTCTATTTATTTTTATTCAATTTTTGCTATTTTAATTTCATGCATAAGCCCCTGGCTCAAAGCTCGAAAGAAATATTAAGTTAATTAAAACGCTATTGATGAGTCCTTTTTTCCCACTGCCTCAACCAATGCAACGAAGCACAGAAACAACGAACCCACTTCTTTTTCATCCCCAGTACGGTGAACATTGAAATTATAAATGAAAAGAAGATTATCGCACTTAAAGCATTGTGATTGTTACTCCTGTTACAGCTGAACTAGGGAACTGTATTGTAGCACGAAGAACCTTAAATGTCAGCCAGTGGAATTGGACAAAAAGGGGAAGTGGATAATGGCACCACTGATAAATTGATAAGCTGATAAGCTTGGCTGAATTCTTATAAATTCATTTCCCTTGTCAATGTGCTCGTCCTCTGCTACCCATTCGCCGTCTCGAATTAAATCCCGACTAATATATTATTTCAAGCCCAAACATAAAATGGGTTTCGTCGCCGGGATCGCAAAAAGACAAAATGGTGCACTGACCTCCTAAAAGACAATGGGTATTTTTTCCCCCCTTGCCGATCTTTTGACTATTGAGGGGATGGGTGGGTCGTTTCAGAGAGATAAAAAAAAATCTGAGTAACAGCGCTCTCTCTCTCTCAGTCAAGCTGATGACACAATAGGTTTCCCAAGCACTGGTCAGCCTTAAACTAACCAGGGCTAGATTTCTGGATTTTTACGATGCAATGAATGAGAAAACAAGTAATAAATAAAGTGGAAAATATTTTTCCACTGCAGCCCAATACACGCCTATTTTATAGGCGCTTGAATACAACACTGTGTGTCTGGTAATAAACAGGCATTTTTTGGTCAGTTTTTTGACAATCTGTTTATGATTTTATTTTCCATTTTAGCTAAAACAACAAAAGTCTACTAAAAGTGTCAGCCTCTTTGATGATTCCTCGCTCTTAATTAGACAATTTCTTTACACATCGCTGGGAATTCTGGGTGTTTTGGTTCTTGCCGGAATGCTGTGGGAATTATTTGTCAAGAAAAAAGTTAAAATAAGAAAAGGCCAGGTTGTAGGTAAGTCTTCAGTCTGCCTGTTTTGATAAATACTATTGAGGCGTTTGTAACTTAAAGAGGGAAAGATTATTTGGTAGAAAACTCCCCTGAGAAGCTAGGCAGGTTCTTTCGGTTCTCACGTTAAGCGAAAATTGGATAACGGTCACATTTTCCTGGACGCTGCCGGCCCCTGACTTCACATGATGTGTTCATGAATTTGACTTTTTCCTTATATATTGCACTTAGCTAGTGCAGGCGACAAAAGTCAGTCGAAGTAGACCTAATAACTTTGGCCAAACTATGCTCAAATAACTCCAGCCAAGGCCAAGAGGATACCATGTAGGCTCAAATACCACCTGTTTGGTCAACTTAGATATATAATTTTAATATTGCCTTGTACTTTTTTTCTTTAGAAGCAGTGAACCCGGGGTTTTCATTTTCATCACAGGGAGAAGCTATCCGGTACGATGTTGAAGCAACTAGAGAACTTTTCAAAAAAATGGAAGAACATTTGAGCAAACTTGAATTCAAAGTCTCCAAACTTTAAGAGGACGGAGGAATCACAAATACGTGATGAATACCTTACGATTTCTATATTAGAAGTTAGCAAACAACGCACACACAGTCACTTGTCGGATAATCAACCCTTTATAGCCTCCAAAGTATTTTGAAAATACGCACATAGTTTAACGTCGAGGCGACAAGGCGTCAAGTTGCTCAGGCAGGATGCAATTTAGTCCGAATTCAAAAGGCATATGCTGAACCCCAGAGTACTGTTACTGAAACGGGCAGCCGTGAACAGGGAACGATCACGGAGAATTGGGAAATGAAAAATGAAAACAAAACAGAGAGTTGGAAATGAAGTTACTAATAAGGCTAGGGTTCAATTTAGGTTTCTTCCCATTTTTCATTTTCCCGTTCGCCGCGCTCGTTTCCCACTCCCCGTTCTCCGTTTAAGTAACATTCAAAACCCAGACGAGCGATTATAGACGTAATCATAACTATAACAAAATTGTCAAATCTGATTGGCTCTCAACTGCCCTGATTTCAGCCTTAATTGGACAGTTTAATAGGACAGTACGCGTCATGCCTAAGTAATTGGACAGTACGCGCCATCACGCGCGCGCTTAAATGGCTTTTTTTTTCACTGCTAGCAAAACAGGATTTCGAATTTCTTGTGTTTTTGTTTTAAAAAATAGCCTATTGTATCACAAATTTTGTTAAAGTTATGATTAATTGGTAACAGAACTTCGTGTCGTCCAATTCAGTCTGTAATCATACTCGTGATTAAACAAATCGGACTCCCGCTACGCGGTCGTCCGATTTTGTTAATCACTCGTATGATTACAGACCGAATTGGACTCCACTCAGTCCTGTTACCATTACATAGACGATGGACGATGGAGGAAAAGTGAAAAACGAAGACGATATGCATTTGCATTTTTTTCACACAATCCTGGCTAGGCCTTTGATAGATTGTGCTAGCATAATTTTTGGCATAATTCGTCATCACGAGAATAATTTTCACCTTAATTTTCCGAAAAAAAGCACTGCTAGCATAATTTGCACTTTTGGCTGGTTTGCAGCACAAAATTGTCAATTTTTTTTTTACGGCCGAGATCAGTGTTACAGGCAAATTTAAGAAACAAAATTAATCTCTCTCTGCTTATAACCACATTCATGGGACCCTCGTCTTACAGGAAGTGACCCAGAACTCTTAACTTTTCATAGGACTCAACGCATGCGCATTAGGGGTGACGAATGGTCTTTGCGAGCATTCGCGAGCGTGCCGAGCACTGCGATTTTTTTGCGAGCACGAGCAGAAATAAAAAATTTGCTTTGCGAGCTTGCGAGCAACTGCAAAAATTTGGGGAGCACGAGCAAGCGAGCACTCGTTTAAATTTTGCGAGCAACTCGAGCAAAGGTAAAATTTTGTGAGCAGTTAAAAATTTTAATGGACCATTCATCACCCCTCGCATTACTAGTTCGGTTTCCCCGCAAGAGGGTTAACCAAGTTGTCAGACATGGAATTATGCACTCTTAAAGTTCTTAGATTTTGAATAAGTTAAATGCAGTTTCCATTTACTTCAGTGTTTTATAGTTATTGAAGTGTTTTAACCAAAGATATTAATTTTTAACTAAATAGTAGAGGCCTAATTTCTGCAATTTTTTTGCTCTGAAATGAGTATAATTTGCAAAAACTAGTATTATGATAATTATTTACATAATTTTAGAAATATACGAGCACTGCTAATAGCTATTATGCTACTTTTGCGGGCACAATCTATCAAAGCCAAATTCTGTTACGCAACGCCTTGGCAACGCCATGTGAGGGGGCTACGCCTCTTTTATTGCACACGCTCCTATTTTCCCGCCTTAATTAGACCAGAAACACAAAGTAAATCAGTCCTCAAAACTAAGAACAATCCGTTGCTAAATGATTTACTTTTTGTTCTGTTATTAATGAGTGAGTGCCCCTTGCGCAAATATTTGATATTGTGTCACACACTGTATGTGACAGTCTTTATTGTTGTAGTTTGTTAAAGGACCCATAACAAATGAATCAAGATTTACAATAAAGATCAATAACAAAATACGGTGTTTTCCCCCAATCTTGCCACATGTTGCTTGAAGCACATGATCCCAGTTAAAGAACAAGAAAGGTGATTACTTCACCATATTGACAACAGAAATTCAATCATGCCACCCGCGTGCATGAAAACAATTTGGCAAACGGAGTAGGATTGATTTGGAATACTGTGCGTAGTTAATTCTCGGAAAATTTCTAGAGACGCCCCTGAATTAGAGTTTGCGCCGCCCACAGCCTAGCAAACAAGGTTTCCAAAAAAACGAGAATATTTTAATTTTTGTTTGTGGATTTTACTCTCTCCACAGAGGCGTCTGGAAGGGCATCTCTTCGAGTTGATACAAAATTTTGCCACCAGATGTTCATAAATATTAATTAACTCGTTTTAGAAGTAAACACAACTCCTCGGCCGTACGTGTAGCTTCAAGACAGAATATTGTAGTTCTTGAGGAGTTGAGTTCTAAGATTACTAAAATGTCAGGTTATTCTTTCTTAGCCTAAGATGCCTGTTTTTCTATGTTAGATAGTTAAGTTTCGGTTGCAAAAAGGTGACTATGTCAACATGATATCTTTATGAAATATTAAGTGCCCCCCAAGTAAGTGTTAAAATGGTTCTTATGAGAGAATCAGTTCTAGCTCCAGGCTTAAGATCATTCTAAAAGGGTTTTCTGGTTTTCCGATGACGCTGACAGATCGTAATCGCGTGGAAAAATCAAGTTAAGTGGATTCAATTAAGTGTTTTTAAGTCTTCAATTTGGCCTCTCTACAACATCATCAGTTATATATTGTAAATGAGGCAAAATTAAAACAGCAATTAGCAAGTTTTGTATTTGCATGATAATTTGAGGGTTATTCAGCAGTATTCTGGCTTTGTACCGTTCCATCGACGAATTCCCTTGCCGGTAAATGCGGAATCTTACTGTTCCAATCATTGCAGGTATGACTGTTTAAGTTAAGTATTAATCACAACTGAAAAGCTCGCATTGCGTTAAGGAAGAAATTCTTCATGCGGTTTCGCGCGCCGTAATTTTGTTTGAACCTTCAAAACATTACCTGGAAGAATAGCTTGTTTAAACTTGAAGAATCAATGTACAGAGCTGTTCCCACATGCCCGACTCGTCTTCGAACTGATAGGATAAAATTAATTCAACAAAAGAAAAGATTATTTTTCATAAAAATTTTGAAATCCCCCTTTTTCAAACGATTTTCAGATCTTTTGCACCTGCCACTGAAATCTTACAAAGCTGAAATGCAACGGCACTTTCAATTGTAAGCTTCACCTCAGCATCCCATCCATCTGAAGATATGGGCTTGTAGTAAAAAATCAAGCATTTTATTTAGCTAATAACAGGGGTATGTGTATACTTATCTTGCATGCTGTAGAATAAAAAAACGCAGGCTAGTTTACGGCGTTAAGGCATAATGATTACTACTACTTGTAACTTGAGGCTTAAGATTTTATTTCACTGTATCTTGTTAAAGGGAAAATACAACTGTGTGATGGGATATTTACTATCGAAAATTGTAACAAAGAAACGTTCTGTGTAAAATGAGTGATTTCTAGTTTCTTACATGTACCGACTAGCGATTGATTTGATGTTAATGGCTTGGCACCAGCGTGTTTTGACTTAATATCGCATACCCAAAAAGCGAGAGCACCCTAAATCATTGTTATGTGGACGCACATTTTTTCCATGATCTGTGGGTTTTCAGTTAGGTAGAACCTGAGGCTTTTAATTAGAGAATTTACTATTTCGATTAATTAGAAATAGCAATCTCTGTGTACGAGATCGAGCTCAATTTCAGTGAACATGCATTAAAAGTACAATTATGAATGAAAAAAATATATCTGCTCACTGTCAACTATTGAAGTAAAGGATGTGCCTGTAACCTGACACGAAATGTTATTCATTTTATTGCTGTTTAATACTAATAAAGTTCAAATTTTTAATTTTTTTTTAATCAAATCTGTATATTATGTTAAAAATTTTTCCTTTTCAGACTCACAAAAATGGCATCGTTGAAAGTGTTTGTAGTCTTGCTCTTTGGAATAGTTGTTGTTAACCTTAGCTTCTGGTATAGCGCAGCTGAAAATGAGCATATAGAAGTACCTTTAGTGTTTGGCTGGATTGAAAAGCCGCCGTATGCAGTACCACCAACCAATGAATCTCTAGATAATGAAGCCCATGGATTAATCCGCGACGCCGTGTTACGGTATATTCTAGTGGAGTGCGGATATTCTCTCAAGCTGGAATATCAAGTGTCCACCAGGAAATTCGAAAGCGAATTTGAACTGTTGCAACAATTGCGGCAGAACATAGTACACATTGCCTTACCAATATTTGAGGATGCCAATAATCGTAAATACAGTGAATTTATCTTCTTCAAACTTGATGATTATCCGGGAACAGAATTTATCACTACCGAGGATGACACTACCACACTTACAGTTGTAATGGATTCTGTTTTGAAGTCTTGGCCATTGCTTGCTGTCACACTTGTACTCACAGCTATTGCTGGAATTATCATGTGGGCTTTGGTAAGCGGCTGTGTATATAGGAGAGTAGACACCTAGAACCTGCTGTAAACGCATAGCAACATTTAGAGAAAACAGGCAAATACAATTCAAGTTCTAAGTGTTAAATTGCTTAATATCAGTAATATCGTCGTTACCTTTGTGTTAGATAAAGGACTTGCCAAACAACTGGAGGTGTTTGACTCCCTAGGAATTGATAAATTGATACCTTCCTTCAGTCCAGGCGTAAATTTCTTCATTATAAGAAAACTTAGCCATAAAATATTTAACAATCATTCCTCGAGCCCGGATGGGCTCTGAGTCAATAGCCCATGAGGCCCAAGGCCTCATGGGCTATTGACTCGAGGCCATGAGGGCGAGAGGAATAATTGTTTTAGTAAAATCCAACTAATTGCTCAAAAAAATAGAGAATAAAAAACTTTTAGCTAGTTAAAGCTAGACTTAATCCTTTTTTGCCGCCAAAAAGCTTGCGCTTTTTGCTGCTAATGGGCTATAACATATAGCCTAGTAGTAGCTCAACCAATCAGAACGCAGCATTGATAACAGACCACTAGCTGGATTTTACTAATACGTACATGTAGTATAAGCAGTCTGTTTCCGTAACGTATTCATGAGCGCTCCAATCACTCTAGCTAGTCTAAAGTTAGCCTGATTGAAAAGGCGAAAGAAGTAGTTGTTGCAACAGCAAGCAAATGGTTTAAACGTGAAATGCAAGCTTCTTATAAGATTGTTACATGTACTACAGCGTCAGAAACCTGCAATTGCATGCTGAGATGAAAGCATGTACTCGATTTTTCTAAGATAACCTATTCCCCATATTTTCGATCTTTTTTCTTCTATACAGGACACGTACTGGAATAGTGAAGAGTTTCCTCGCTCGTTTATCAAAGGATCATGGGATGGATTCTGGTGGTCTTTCATTTCTATGACCACAGTAGGGTAGGAAAATTAAGGAATCTCAAAAGACTCCAGGGAATATGTAATACAGCTATCTCTAGAGGGAAGGGGTGAATCAGCCGAGGATATTCCGAGTTAAGGAAGCCAATCAAAACGTGCGAAACTTGCTATTCTTTGACTGATTTAGTAAGTACTAAAAGTAATTGTTCAGTATTGAACTGCGGGAAGGTTTTATTTGCATTGGGGTAATAGAAACTCAGTACCTAAAACAAATGGAATTGTACAGAGCATCTTAAATTAAAGGACCAAATAAAGAAACCGTAGGATGAAACATCTAGTACTTCTTTCAGGAATTTTGGTGCTAATTTGTTGCATCGTCTCCTCAGCTTAATTGGCCCTTGAAACCATACCGAAAATGTTTGATGTTATGATCAATTTTATAGCTAAAGAATGTAGACTATCTAACTCGATATCACCATTTATCAAGACGTGATGATGGTACATTTTTGTCTATTACGCGCTCTTGGTTCATTGACATGGTCTTACAATATAGAAATTACAGAGGGCAGGAAGATAACGACTTCCCTCTTTAGTCCTGTCGACCATGATCCAGAAGTCCCAACACGTAATACAGCCCTAAAAGTTGATAATCATTCTAGGCTGGCTATTATGGGTGGCTTTGCTATTCCACCTATTAGAATCATTTTATTTATCTATGTAACAGCTACGGGGACAAATCTCCCAAGTCGATTGTTGCGCGGATTTTCTCCATCATCTGGATTATGTTAGGACTTATCGCCATGGCAATATTCACAGCTAATGTGACTTCAGCTTTGACAGCTGCCTCACTGGAAGTGAAATTAAATAGCCTTGAGGGGTACAAGGTATTTTAAGTCAATTATGTATTAGCACTTAACAAAAAAAGGATCCATAAGACTTAAGCAAAGACTTTTTAATATGGGACTGTTACTAGAGACGCCAATAGCCGACCGGCACGTCCTCGGTAATTATCCCAAAAATAATTGAAGGACGCATTTCGGCTCCAGCTACCTTCTCATTTCTAAAGTGGCGAATTTGACCTGGCAATAGGGAACTTAAGAACCACGACGACGACCGGAAGTGAGTTACAGTGTAAAGCGTAAGCGCGACCAGTAAATTTCGTCGTCGTGGTGTCGTCGACGAAGCCAAACAAAGTATAATTACGTCGTCCTGCAATCCACAAGCTTCGGTAGATATATTTTCACTGTTTTAAGCGATTTTTGAATTCCTTATCATTTTCTTGCTTATCCTCGTAAATCCAGGTATCGTTACTTTTTTCTCCTAACAAGCGATGTTGATTGAAAATTCGACTAGTGAATTGTTTTTACTTCGAAGAATGACAACAGCTGTGGAGGCCGAGCGAGCGAACTCGTAAGTGATAAATTTATTTGTACGTATTTATGTGAGGCAAATCATTTATCTTTAATATGGAGGAAATAAACTTTGTATGGAAAACAGTTATCACATCAGAATGTCTCTTTTTCCAAATCTAAACTCTGACAGACACTCGGACTCGGTCATCTCAGTCAGGTTGAAAGTTGAATAATCTTCGTACGGAAAGCAGGTGTTTTTCCACTCGAAAAGGTCAGACAACACAAAAATTCTTCATCGTCAATGAAATTAGACGTACGGCTTAAAAAATAAGATTTTGCATTGTTTTAGACGCCATTGCGAAAAACTTTGTTGCAAACGAACATCACAGTTTTACATTTGTGTTTTACATTCAGTGTCCTCGTCGTCGACCTACTGGCGGACTGCATCTTAAGTTTCCTTTTCCCGCCGAAACTGACGTTCTCGTTCCAGTCTTTTCCCAGTCAACAGACGTCGTCGTCGTGATCGAACTTCGTCGTGGTTCTTAAGTTCCTTAATGAGTCACATTACATTTATTTTACAATCTTAAACGTATCAGGTTTGTGTGACTCAAGTTTGGTGCAGGAATGCCAGTTTGAGTAGGTTGGGGGATTTCGACTTCCGTATAAATGTGAGCAATTTAGAATTAAACTGCAGGACTAAAGAGATCGTGTTTCGTAAAAGGGACTGTACACTGTACTGAAAAATGTAACCCATTACAAGAACCGGTTAAAAGCTACCGTGATTTTAGTTCGACGAAAGATGTTGAATTTGAATGCTAATCAGCCAGATTATTCTCTCTCGCGGAACTTTAACAGCACAAGAATGCCAGTTTGAGTAGGTTGGGGGATGTCGACTCCCGTATGAATGTGAGCAAATTAGAATTAAACTGCAGGACCAAACAGATCGTGTTTCGTAAAAGGGACTGTACACTCTACTGAAAAATGTAGCCCATTACAAGAACTGGTTAAAAGCTACCGTGATTTTAGTTAGGCGAAAGATGTTGAATTTGAATGCTAATCAGCCAGATTATTCTCTCTTGCGGAACTTTAATAGCACAAGACAAAAAAGGAGGCTCGAAATGGCAAAAACTGCGGACGGAGATAGAGTCAAAGTTGATTATAATTACTACTGGGATTTTGTTGAAAAGAGTTCAGCTTTCATTTCATCATTGAAGCTTATCTATAATGTTAACAAACTAGGAAAATGGCTGTCGTGAAGCTGTGATTTTGTCATTTGGTAGTTGCTTCTTCAAGCAAACCGGTTAATAAGTTACCGGTCTATGAGTAAAAAGTTTCGTGTTTGCTTTAGATTGCAGTGTTAGGCAACGGAACAGAATATGATCATGCGCTGAGTGAACACGCTGAACCGAAAGGTACTTGGACACATTTGGTGAATATTTTTATACATAATTATATCACAGGTAGGCCAAGCTTACTGTGAGAGCCCTGAACAACGTTGGCCCGGCCTGATGAAGGCTAATTTTGTTAGCCGAAATATTGGCCTATAATAAATCAGCCCTTTGCCGTAGTGCCAGCCCTGCATTCAGTTTTGTGACATGATCCTACTTAGCTAACTAATTATTCATACGGCAACAATTGTAAGACGTTGTATGAAAATTACCTTATTTCTCCGTAATAGAGCGAAACGTGCATTAAATTTTCCCTTTGGAGTTTGCATTTTGTATTTTCTTATGTTTACTTGTGTGTTGACTGCGTGTCAGGCCTCTTAGGCACTTTTTAATGCCTTTTTTCGAGCGACAGTCTCTACTGTCATCTAAGTGAAAAACTGTCCCTCGAAAAAAGGCGTTAAGCAGTGCCTAGGAGGTCTGAAATGAAGTCAGAACGCAAAAAAAAAAAAACAAGAAAAAGCTTAAAGTAAGCTGCTTCAAAGCGATATTCAATGCACATTTTGCTAATTTAGTTAGCAAAGAATATTTCTCATACAACGTTTTATAATTTTCTTGCTGTATGAATAATTAATTAGCTTAGTAAGGTAGTGTTGTTCTTGGGTTCTTGGCTAGCCAGAGAAAACAGCCGACATTTGGCGACGCTATCACTGGTTTCCCCGCCAAATGACGTCTGAGAAACGAGCGCAGAAATTCCATACTGATGACGCGTCACTACCCAGATCTGGGTAGTGCTTCTGATTGGTTGAATCAAATTTCCCACGCTGCACGACCAATCAGAAGCACTACCCAGATCTGGGTAGTGACGCGTCATCAGTATGGAATTTCTGCGCTCGTTTCTCAGACGTCATTTGGCGGGGAAACGGGTGGCAGCGTCGCCAAATGTCGGCTGTTTTCTCAGGCTACTTCTTGGTATCCTAAGAGCCGTGAAACGTAGTCAACACACAAATAAACATAAGAAAATACAAAATGCAAGCTCAAAAGGAAAAAAATTAATGCACGTTTCGCTCAATTATGGAGAAATAGGGTAATTCTCATACAATGTCTTATGATTGTTGCCGTATGAATAATTAATTAGCTAAGTAGGATAATGTTGTTCAGGGCTCTCATAGTGAGCTTGGGCTCTACCTGTGTTTACATCAATGTGCATTTGACACCACTATCATCAGCGGAAGTACTAATTGTAGATTAAAGTGGATGTTCACAGAGATACCTCATGAACATACAGAAGTACAGACGTACAGTTGGGGCGCCATCGTGATATGTCTGTCATATTTTTGTAAAAATGGATGATCACTTTTCAGGTTTTTACACTAACAGCATCGGCAATATTAAACATAGGTTTCAGTTGAGTGAATAAATAATGAAAAGCAGCAAAAACTTATCATCTTTTAAACAAAATGTTTGCGATACAATGACACAACTTGAAAAGTAAGCCTGGCACTTCCAATTTATAAAAATAATAATTTTATTTCCTTAATGTCTCCGTTAATTTCGAAAACCTATAACTGATTTCACCTTGCACTTAAAATTGAGCACTTCTTAATTTTAACTCAGCATGAATAAATATTTTTAAATTTCTAGAATACCAAAGAATAGAAGACATTCAACAAGCAGTGAATGCCCAAGAAGTCGATGGAATGATGTTGGACCACTACACAGCTGCATATTATCAGAGAAGAGATAAACTCTCGAGATCACTCATCACCGTTAAGAAGTTCGACCTTCGCAGGGAAGTAGGAGTGCTATTTTCTAAGGACAGAGAATCCATTGCCGACTGCTTAGCGATTCACCGTTCAAACATTTGGAGACTGATGCAAACGATGACTGTAACATTTCAGGTGCTCGCATCATTAATTACTCAGCCGGGTTACTCAGTTATTCTTAAATAGAGACCTAAGATAAAACAACTGTATTCTACATTTATAAACAAGAAATTCGGTCTTAAGCATAGCATGAATGAGGGATACAATCCGGCAAAGAATTTAGAAAAAAAAGATGATCAGATAATCAGAGTTAACTGACTCAATCGACACCTGGAATGATTCTTCGGGTTCGAATCAGAGGCAGGAAAGATCTTTTCATAATTGTTTACCCCCGGGGGGAGACTCCCATATAAAAGTGACAGGAATGTTCTTCATCTCACTTTGGGGTGTAAATTGCAGATTTTGGTCTCACTTAAGGTGTTTGGGATGGAAAGTTACTATATTTTCCCATTCAGGTGTCGCTTAGTACTGTGCACAATGAAATTTACAAGAAAATGCCCTGCCACTAAGCACACAGAAATCTCCTTTAGGGATCAGTTTAAGCTTGAGCCACACCCACGTTTGTCTCCCCTAGGGGTTTAATTTCAATTTTCCAACGAGCATCCCCGTCACTTTTATATGGGAATCCCCTCCGGGTGTTTACCTCACTAGTTCACATTTTCGTTTTAACCTCTTCGATTCCTCGGAACTTTACTTACTGAGAGAACCCTTGGGATGAAAGGTTGCTTTTCCATGAATTCAAAACCCATTAGGGATAACGTTCCACACTCATGACAAATTTATAAAAAAAAAGACCATTTGGGGGAGCTAGCCTAATTAAGAAAGCAAATAATAAAATCATTATATCTTACGAGTGTTATATCTGAGTAGGGACTTAAACAAATTTTATTTCCAAAGCGTGATTATCTCGTTACCTGTCCGGTAGAAACTATATATAAGTTCGTGGAACTTGATGGGTAACAATCGTTATCACTAACTATTTTTTCATCAATATAATCAGTAAAAATGTTTTAATTTTTCCATTTAGCTAAAGAAACAAGAGACCTCCAAACAAGTTAGCCTCTTCGACAATTCCTCTACCTTTGTGACACAACTTTTATATATATCACTTGGAGTACTGAGTGGTTTGCTTCTTATTGGGACAATATGGGATTTTTTTATCAGAAGAAAACCTAAAATAAATAAGGATACCTCAGAAGGTGAGTTTGAAAAGATACTGTGGATTTGTAAATACGGCAACTGTATGTGAAAAGCGAGGTGTAAAATATTTTTACCAAATATATTATTGTTCCCTGAGAAATGCACTAGTGGGAAGAGGATGCTTTGCAGCTGTGGAGTGAAGCTGAGTCAGGAGACCAGTATGATATGAAGAATTAGGCAGATCGATGAGGGTATTATAAGCTGAAAGCCGTATACAATTATAAATGTTTTATAATTCATTCAAGGTGTTTTATACCTCGATCGATCATTTTGCCTGTTTCTCGGCAAATTAAAAGACGCAAAGGGATGTTTAGTCTAACAGATCTTCGAATAGCAGTTGTTACCCATCCATTTATATTTTTGCTTTTCCTGCCATGTTTAAAGGCAGCAGTTTTTCGCATTATCTTCTGGAAAAATGTTTGAAATTTTTCTCCATTTTCGCCATCTCTACCAACAGTGGAGCTAACACAACCTCGGCCCAGGGCCTGTCTGTTATCGTGCCTTTTCTGTCGATCGCAGAAGTTGTTCAAATTTGGTCAACACGTGTTTGTCATGAATGCCAAATATGGGGTGATTCGCCTGGCATTACTTCTCGAAGTTTAACGCAATACGCAGTGCTATTCTCATTTCATGACACTGAGTAATATCATGCATATTTTTCATTTTCAGTGGGACGTATGAACGGAGCGTTTGCTTTGTCGTCAGGAAAAGAAACTATTTGCCGTGATGTGGAGGCCGCAAGGATACTTTTTAGGCAAATGGATGAACACTTGAGCAAACTTGAAACCAAAGTTTCGATGCTTTTATAGAAAAACCACGAATGTTATAAGACAGTAATGGTTTGTATACAGCCACCATGCATAACTGTTGTTTCGCATATTTAAGAGAAGATCATAAAGATGATTAGATAACACTCCGGGATAAGTTCAAAAAAGGTGACAGTGGTTGTTTACCAAATATATGCCTTGGGCAAACCGCTCGGTTCACAGTGGTTTGGACAAATGGTATAGCAAAGTTCAGGACAGGTAAATGTCTCCCCGGACTGGTCCGTTTACCGAAAAGTGGAGAAATGGAACACGAATTTCAGGAACGATTTTTTTTGGAAATTCCGTCCGGAAGAACAGGACTATCTTTTTAGATGTTCCGTTGCTCCTAAAAATATTCCGCTGAAACGATCCAAAAAGTCGTGTTCGGTTTACTTAAAGGTTAAAAAAAGGTTAAAGGCATGTTTATAGTGGAAGGTGCACTTAGCTACTCAGCTAATTTACAGGCACTCCACTCAAATATTTAGAAACAAATAATTCAAATACAACATAACAGGATTAAAAACCCCAACTGGCAGAAGGCAACCAGGTTGGCTATTTACAAGCGTGGCCGAGAATTTGAACTCGGGACGACCGAGCACAAATCCAGCAAGTGGCCAGAGCGGGACTCGAACCCGGGACCGCCGAATTGCGAGTCCGACGCGCTGACCACTCGGCCACGCTGCCTCAATCTGACTTTCCGACTGGATTTTCCGGAAATGTTTTGTAAATAGTAAACAACAAGAGGCTCTTGTGAACAACCAATAATTATGTCAGAAACTCGGGGAGTGTCACCCGTTTTCCTGTGCAAAATAGCTTATAAGGGTCACATAATAATTAGATTGCTTGACAGTAACAAAAAGGCAAAAATGTAAAAAACTAAATAAATTGAATCATGTGGGATTATAAATTGTCGAACTCGTCACTAAGCGCCATTTGCCTATCTTACACGATCAATCTGATTCAATCAGAACAAACAATGAACCCTGGCTCTTGCCACTGTACATGTCTTAGGCCCCGTCCACACGTATCCGGAGATTTTTGTATCCGCAAATTTTTTTATGCGGATACAAAAATATCTGCGTCCACTCGTAGCGTATACGAATCGTATACGACCGACCACACGTATCCGATTCGTATCCGGACATCTCAAAGGATTAGTCAACAGAGCATGCGCATTAAGACTGGTTCTGATACTGTGACGTCAGCGTATACAAAAATATACGGATACGAGCGTCCACACGTATCCGGATACACAGCGTATACAGAAATTACCACTCTGGAGAGCGTATACAGAAATCTCCGGATACACCGAGCGTATACGGCGGACACGTGTGGATGCTAGGTGTATCCGCATAAAAAAGTTTGCGGATACAAAAATCTCTGGATACGTGTGGACGGGGCCTTACTGTTCTAAATTGTAAATTTGACATTTAAAAGGGAATTTACCCGTGCAAATTCAATTCAACCTGATGATCGCCTAGTTAGTGAAACTCGAGAGAGGGGCTGTTTACAGGGAGAGAATACCCTAGTTTGTTCAGATATTTATAATTTAGCTCAGAAATTGGATAATTCCGTTGAAATTGTCAAGATTACTGGTCACGAATGACGGAGGCTAAGTTGTCCCGGGTAGGCGAATTATCCCTAGCAAAGCGTTTACAAGGTAGGTAGGATAACCCCCTTACTAGAAGGGTAACCCTAGCAATCAGGTAGGGTTACCCTAGCGCTAAGGTAACCCTAACTGCCTTGTAATCACGTCGTGTAAAAAAAATTGTTGAGTCAAGCCCCCCTCATCATGTTTGAGAGATAGAAAACCTTTTTAACACACCTTCAGCAGGCTTTCACAAATTTTTCAAGGCTTAACCTTTTCGTGTTTGATGCTCTATAACTTTGGCTGTAGTGCATGTACGGAAAAGCCACAAAGTGAAACAACATATCTAATGTTGAACTAAATTTTACAGTACGTTTTGTTGACATCGCCGCTTCCGTAGCAACAGAATAACGATGAATTGGAAACCAAAAATTTTCTCCTGCGAAATCTAGCAATAAGCTGTAAAATCCTCTAGTGTGCTAATAGCTTAGAACGATGTCTTTACCTTGGCAAGATTTGAAAAAATCTATGAGAGCGTTTTTTGAAAGATAATGTTCTAAAACTTAGGATCGCAAAAAGTGTATTTTTCACTTTTTGTTTTTTAATCATCAAAAATGAGTTACAGCGCTGTTTACACAATCCAAATTTATATTCCTGGCTTAAGATGCGGTTCAGTTAGTCCTATTAATAATAAAAATTGGCAAGCCGTCGCTCTTCGCGATCACACTGATATTTTGCTATTCTTACTCATAAGTCTAATTTGCTCGTTTAAGCGCAAACAGGCGTCATCTTTGGCTTTGAAACCGCAGTTTGGAAATTATTCCAAAAACGTTTTTACGAATCGGTTCTTTGAGAGTTTTTCATTACTGAGCATTTTAGTGAAATTCCAAAGTCATTAAGAATTTCTAAGTTACTGCCGAGAAGTAACATCGTGTCTTGGTAAATCCGTTTGCGCCTGGCTTCGTTAAGGCCATTGTGTGCGTCTTACTCCTTTCAAATCAGGAGTTGGCTTAGAGCTAATAAACATTCCTTAAATGTCAGAAACTAATAAAAAAACAAAAACAAGCCTAGTAACTTTAAAAATAAGTTATAACTGTTAATTGCTTTCCCCTTACGCAAACCTATGTATCTGACCCATGTAATACCAACCATGCATAAATGGTCATAAATGTAATAAAAACCAACCATAATGTAATAAAATTTTAACCATAAATGTAATAATCTGGCTCACCATAAATGAAATAAACTTTAACCATAAAATGTAAAAGGTATAGAAAATCGTATGAATGCCAGTTCATTTCGCTATTTTTTGTACAAGTTCAGTGTTTGAAAGTTATTCTCTGATTTAAAAGAGCCATTTGACATGGTTAACAATAATTTTGTCCCGCTGTCAGCCATAGTTTTGAATGTGTTTTTAATTCACGCTTCCTCGCTATCCTTTCCCAAGAAACTTCAGTATTGTATTGTATAACCTCAGGAGCCGTCCTGATAACCTTTGTGGGCACTCCATATATAAAGCTGTTACTACTTTTCTCGTTGACCAATTTTTGGTTTAGTGATTATTATAAGTGGATTACAATCATGAAATGTAGCTTATTAGGGACCAGTCATAATTTAAGTTGGAGAGGCGGGTGGAGGAGAAATTGGGGGGGCCTTCAATTGTTTTTGGATGAAATATGGGGGGCCTTAAAATGCCAAAAGATGACCTTAGGGGGGTCTTCAAGTTTCTTTTAAGTAGCATCCCTACTGAGCAGAATGATCCTTGAGTATTAAAGGACCTGATTTTGCTTCAGTTTTACACAAAATCATATATTGTGTAATACTAAAACAATTTCATGAGCATTTTGATACAAAGATTTAATGCTCAAATAGTAGGTGCATCAACACAACATCCATTATTGTGTAACACTGAAACGATTTCATCAGCATGTTAACAAATGATTACATGCATAAAGTCATGTTATGGTGAATCTCACTATCCGAATCATTATTTGTAGATGAGGTTGATGTGAACTCACTGTCTGTGTCACCGTCAAGTTTTTTGCTATTAGAGCATGTACTCATACAAAAAGCAGTAAGCTTTGGCTGATTATCTTCTTTCTTCCTCGAAGCGGTCGGCCTCTAACCTTTCGATGGCTTGTCTTATCTCAATTATAACACAGAGGCAAACCGACAAAAGCAAACGAGACCTAAAAACATACAATGAGTATGACTGGCTAGACATGTCTCTAAAAGGATCATTGCAACAAGTAACTGTCAAAGAACTTGAGAAATATCTAACTGCTCATGGACTTGGCAAGTATGGTAAAAAAGTGACAAAATAAAAACCATCAGCTGCCATGTATGTACTGCGAAATAATGAGCTTAATTCTACAAAAGAGAAACAGTTGGAAATGGCAGACTCCACGTCTTATGTTGACCAGCAAGATGACGAATCACTCTCAGATGACGATTATGTAGTTGGCACATTCGGAAGTGACAGTGAGTAAGAACGGTAAAGTAAAGAAATTACCATTTGGGTATTATGTAAGAAAGGGGGGCCCTTAAATCTTTTAACATGATTGAACGGGGGGTACCTAAAAAGCATGGGTGCTATTGAGTAGGGGTCTGGAAATAATTTGGGATAAAAAAAAATTTCTCCTCCACCCCCCTTCAAACTTAAATTATGACTGGTCCCTTAATACCACATGGTTGTCATGAGTCAAATGACAACCTTTTTTGAGGTGGCTCGCTAGTGTATTATTTTAATTTTTGATAATTATGCGTCCAGTTCCCATAAACCCCATTTTTTTATATAACCAAACCGATTAGCTATCAAATTTTTATATTTATTTCTTTGAATGGGTAAAGTGCGCGCGTACGGGAATAACGTTGTGAGGCACCCCAGGAGCCGAAGACTAGTTTCTGTCTCCCATGCCACGTTCATTTTTCCAAGTTCAACGCGCCTGCTGAACATGACAAACAAGTGCTATTTTATTTTTATTTTTAATTACGCATTTATTTATTTTTAAAGTAAACGTTTCAACTTTGCCAAGGCTTTCGATAAAGTCTCCCATGCCCATCTCCTCTACAAGTTGGAATGCTATGGTATCAAAGGCCAGATTTTAAATTGGTTAAGGGATTTTCTCACTTCAGGGAAACAGCGTGTAGTGATTGAGGGTCAAGCATCTGACTGGTTAAGTGTTACATCTGGTGTGCCCCAAGGAAGTATACTTGGGCCTTTGCTGTTCCTTGCATACATCAATGATCTTCCTTACTCAGTAACCTGCAACTCAGATTTGTTTGCTGACGATACTGTCCTTCATCGACACATAGAAAATAGATCGGATTGCGATCTACTTCAAGAGGATTTGACATCTGCCTCTGAATGGTGCAAGAGTTGGCTTGTTACTCTTAAGACAGAGAAGTGCGAAGT